GGCAACTTGTCCATGTTGCTGTTGTTATGCTCCCCGCATAGTTTAATTAATTTTAGTGCTTTTTTAAAGTGGTAAACTCGTGCACATATACGTTGAGGGCCGTCTGTCATGTATTTCAGTTTAATCATGTATACTGTATAGCAATGTATACTGCACAGTAGATACTAAAATGAATAATATTTTACCCTCTTTGCTAGTGACCTTATGCAAAAAACATTAGCCTTTGCCCTAACAATAACGGCACTGCAGATATGGAGAAGTTGCTTACTATACCGTAGCATTTAGGTACCAAAATACATTGACTGCACAGCCACTTGACCTTTACGAATGCACTGAATCCACCCTTACCATAAATTATTGGTATACACCATAATTAAAGTTAAAGCAAAAGATTTAAAATTCAAAGTCAGATCGTTGCGATCCGAAAATAAAGAATGTTTCAGAATTGCGGCTTGGCATATCAGTTAACACTTAACAGTTTTTAGTTCAAGGCTATCTATAAACATCTATCGTTGAACCACAAATCCGGTGGCAATCAGCTTGGCCCAGAAGAACTTAATATCGGACAACTCGGCATCAGAAATTCCCAGCCCGTGGAGATCTTCTGTGTTCCCGGATTCGGTGGCTGTTAAAATGTTTCGAAATCATTCAATGTTTTCCTGACCCATGTTTGTAGCAGCGTCAAAGTCGTTGATGGTTGGGCTTCCTGCAGTAAGCAATGGGCTTCGTTTGAGTAAAACATTTTCGTCATATCTTTGATGGGATTTATCTGTATATTTGTGTGTCGTGCGCATGTTCGATCAAATCTAAGAAAAATTTTGTAAGCATAGTAAGAGTGCATCATTAATATTTAAATTTTCGATTTAAAAATGGACTGTGTAAAGATTTAAAAACGCATTTCTGAAAAAACGATTTAAAAACGTTTTAAAAAACGTTTTAAAAGATTTAAAAACGATTTAAAAACATAAAGATTTATTTCTCTGTTTTAAATAAGTACTGAAATTTGTTCTAAAAGTAACGTCGGTTCGGTTAGACGAAGTAGAACTAGTTTTATATGGACAAACATTGGCCCCCATATAAGCTTACCGGACAAAGCAACAGCAACGTTAGCCACTCCACCCATTTTTCCATAATTATTGTTTTTTTGCAACCGGTCCAAAAAACCTTTTCCAGAAAGTTCGATCCATGCGATTTCAGGAGGTTATGGAAGAAAGTAGCCGTTTCTTGGACAGGGGAACGCTTTGCTGTTAAGACACACTGTTTAATAATTCAGTTGTACTCGTATTTATTATGTATTTTGTAATACTACTTCCCCCTCGCATGCGTACAGAACCAAATTACGCATGTATTATACTTGAAATTAAATACAAATGTACGTTCATTTTTTAATATATCCTGCGAGTATGAGTTGTTTCTGAGTTTGTAGACGTGCATATTCGGTGCTTTATAATTTTTAATTTTTTCACATGCATACGTTATTATTTGAACTCACAGGCATTACATGTACTTAGAGTGTCGTACACGGATAATTTATCAATTTACATGGTAATATCGATGCGTTGTTGTCTTTGTAAATTTGATAAGCAAAGCAAATCAGGTCTGTCGATATCTAATTAAGGTATGTTTAGAAAAGAAATTCCCTAAACAAGGTACGTTAGCGTCTGTTATGATGGAATAAGAAGCCATATAAAGACTAACTACGATAGACAAAAATTAAGGGTGCGCCCACCAGTCTGTACTATTCTGTATGCTCTAACAAACTCATCATGCGTGATTATTGTCTGGGTGCAAAAAGGGATGCGTTTGGGGATATACAAGCGCCCTTGGCCGCAATAGCACAATGCATCAGTTTTTCTCCCGTTAATTTCTTTGAAGTCATCATTTATAGGCCAATTTCATGGATCATTAAATTTATTTTATGATTTATACTAGCGTAATTCCAGAAAAAGTTGGTTGAGTAGCGTAGAGTGTTACGTCAAGTGCCCTGGGGTGTTAAAATTTGTATGAGCCATTAATATTGAATTTCCTGCAGTATAATATTCTGTTAATTTGAGTATTTTCCAACGCATATTCGCGTTGCCCGTCCTGCCGGCTTAAGTTTTCCACTACTGGAAGTTGCTATTTAAATCGATACGAGTCAGTAACGAATGTAAAATAAAGTTGCCTTTCTACATAAATTATACCCTTATACTTTTCCGCCTTTTTGTGTACTGCATCTGTTCAAACGACACGCAATAATATTATCAATAATACACAGGGAATCCTTGCAATTGTTAATTACCAGAGCTCGGCGTCGCACGCGGTTCCGCCTTTTAATACGCTATATATTTTTTCGAAGTTCGAGTATTCCGGAAATCTCAAGTTATCTAATAACAATGATTCATTCAACATTATTTAATGAAATTTGCGCCAGATCCAACTCCACCTCACTCGTTAAATTTAGCCGAACATTATTTTGTTGTAGTTCGTTTGGGGGACTGCATTAATCAAAAAATTTCACGATAGTTCAGAAATCATGCGGAGCAAACAGCATGCAGTTCTTAGAAGTAAAGCTAATAATAGTTGAACTAATAATAGTTTAAAGTTTAAAGCTAATAATAGTTGAACAATGGTGGGTTCTCAGCTTTTCCCGTAAACTTTGTACGTTAAAGCTTTTGAACGAATTCTTTCAAACGTATCTTTTTCTCGAAAAATCTGATTTGTGATGGTTAATCTACACTTTAAGAGCCATCACGTGATACATAGTCTGATAGGCATGGCAGTTTGGTTCAGCATATCGAGCTGGTGAACTCAACAAAGATTAAGGCTTACACGATTATTATATAGAGATATTGAGGAAAACCAGATATAATAATATTTCGATAACTGTAGTGTAGAGTGCAAGTATTCGTACGTACAAGTGCAGCGAAGCGTATTGTCATGAATGTGAATATTGACCGATGTCCGCTGTGGCGTAGCAACGGATAACGAAAATACCCACGCTGCTACGTTATCCCTATTTACTTTGCTGTTTGCTGCTGTGCCGAGCGAACAAAATAAAAGATTGTACCGTCCGTCACATATCTTGCAAGTTACATTAACAATGAAACACGCTATTGTTAACTGTATCATGAGCACATATTATTACATTATTTATTCCAAATGTAGTGTAGTTGTTCATTTTGATCTCAGATTAATTGTTGTTATTTTAGTAAGTCAGATTGGCGCCAAGCATGCATTCCGTTTGCATCATTAATGTCGGTGTAACCTTACATCTGCGATAATTACCACATTCCAACGGCCAGGTGTGCATTCCATTCCCATCATTACTGTAATCTAATGATGTGCAATTAGCTGACTGGCGCCGAGCATGCATTCCGTTAGCATCATTAATTTCGGTGTAATCTTACATCTGCGATAATTACCACATTCCAACGGCCAGGTGTGCATTCCATTCTCATCATTACCGTAATCTAATGATGTGCAATTAGCTGACTGGCGCCGAGCATGCATTCCGTTAGCATCATTAATGTCGGTGTAATCTTACATCTGCGATAATTACCACATTCCAACGGCCAGGTGTACATTCCATTCTCATCATTACCGTAATCTAATGATGTGCAATTAGCTGACTGGCGCCGAGCATGCATTCCGTTAGCATCATTAATGTCGGTGTAATCTTACATCTGCGATAATTACCACATTCCAACGGCCAGGTGTGCATTCCATCCTCATCATTACCGTAATCTAATGATGTGCAATTAGGTGAATGGCGCCAAGCACGCTTTTTGTTCCCATCAATAATGTCGGTGTGACCTTACATCTGCGATAATTACCACATTCCAACGGCCAGGTGTGCATTCTATTCCCGTCATTACTGTAATCTAATGATCTGCGATTAGCTGACTGGCGCCAAACATTCATTCGTTTCCCATCGACAAACACCTGCGATGCTTGAGAATTTCACACTAAACATGTTGGAAAGTTAAGAGTGTCGTACCAAAACATGTAAGGAAGTCAAGAATATTATGCATATCTTGTGGGAAAGCATAAAATGTCGTGTCACATATGCAGGCAACATAGGAATGTTGCGTCAAATATGCAACAAAGTTGGAATTGTCATGTCAAACATGCAAGAAAGTTGGAAATGTTATACTTATCTTGTGGGGAAAGCATAAAATGTTGTGTCACATATGCAAAAAAGTTGGGAATGTCACGGGAAACATGCAGGAAAGTTGGATTGTTACGCTAAAATATGCAGGGAAGTTGTGAATGTCACGGCAAACATGCAAAAAAGTTGGAAATGTTATGCCAAACATGCAAAAAAGTTGGGATTATCACGTCAAGCATATGCGAAAGTTGGTTTGCCTTTCAAAAAGAATGTGCAGCAAATGCGATATTTGCTTCATTTGCTTGTGCGGAAATCGGAGTTTTACAAAACAATTTGATTGAAACCAAAAACTCCCAAAAGTGAATACGAAATACTACCGAAAATTTATGAAAATGTATGTTAAGTCAATGGGAATCCCAAAACAAAAATCTTCGTTTTTTCATTCTGAAAAACTACAAGTTTTTGCAGCAAAATGATGCAAAACGGAAGTTTTTCATATCATCTTCCCGTAGTTTTCACAAATGTTTTGATTTGAATACGAGTTTGGTGAACTGAACGCGCATCATCTCATCGCTTTTGCTACCCATACTTCCGATTTTGGTATCTCACATTATTCTTCCATTACATTCGATGCAGTACCTTGCGCTTCCGATATGTGCTCAACGTTTCTTCATCTTTTCGGTGTGCTTTCATACAGCACATATATATTATCAGTAAAAGCTTCTGTTTCAGCGACGAATGCCCAAAGCCATAACGACTTCAACCTGGCCGCAGACAAGCTAAAGCCGGTACAGATTTGGGGCATTCGCCCTCTTTTTTTCTTGCTTTTTTTATGTAAATGTTTTTTTTTTTGGCTTTTATTATATGCTAAAAGTTACAAACTGCAAAATCATACTAAAGGAATTAATTTGCGGAACTGCGACACTTGCTCCAGCGACATCATGTCCATGCGCATCCCTTCGAATATGGGCCGCTAGCTGTCAAAAACGAAAAAATAGTGCGAAACTTTTTTATACAAGTACAGAACGGGCACACTAACTTACTCCTTGCGAGTTCCAAACGGTAAAGTACTATAATCGTCCATTAGCATCCGTTTATCGTATACTCGTCTGAGAGTTTTCGTCAGCTGAACGGTGCTAATTTCATGAGTGTTGACATTTCTCTTGATTGTTTCGGGATATACAACGCGCAGCGTTTGGTCATCATTTTCCAAGAGCGATTTCCAAAGGCTGTAGTCCATACTCTGACCTGTCTGAACCAGTCCTTCCCCAGAATTGGTCAGGATATTCTCCGTATATCCATTTTGAGTGAAGCCTTTAATTTTGCTTTCTACCCTTCCTGTATCTGTTTCGTAGTAATAAACTTTGGGCCCCAGAGAAATAAACTTGACAATATGACTCTCTCCCGATTCTAACTGGTTGCTCCATTCTCCAAGCATCGTACCTGTTGGTGGCTGCCACTCACCTGACCGCTGAACAAAAATAACGGAATCAGTGTCGAAATAAAGTACTCGTTCTCCTAACAGCTCCAGCATTTCCAAAAGTTTCAGCCGTGCATAACTTGTAGTAAAGGCAGCGATAGGGATATTAGCAGTGCACGATCCTTCTAAGTAGTCGTCGATTTTGGAAATAGTTGCCATGACGCATTCAGGATTGAAGATATGGACATTGTGAATCCATGTAGATTTTGATACAAGAAGGTCATAATAGTCTTTCGGCTTGAAAAAAATTTTTGTCTGATGAAGATTGTCATTTTGTCCAAATTTACCCCAGAATGAGTTCAGCATTAGCTTTGCAACAGCCTTTCGTCCGGGATTGTCTTCAATTTGTGAAAAGTCCAGTTCAATACCCTCCACGTCCTTCACTTTTCTCACAAATTCTATCCGCTCACACTCTGTGGCGCAGTTACTCGGCCACCCGCTTGCCTGAATTTTTTCTTTGAGGAATGTATTAACAAAGTCTTCGAACAATTTTTCTTTCCGCGCTTCCCAATGCCAAACTTCATGAACAGCAACAACTTTATATCCTTGTAAAATTGCATGTTGCAATTCGGGAGTAGTCCACACACCTTCCAGCAATCGTTCCTTGCCGCTATGGGTGCAAAAATCGTTTTGCCGATGCTCTGCACATTTGCGGCAGAGCGCGAAGATTAACTTGCCGTTTATAGTTGCAGGCAAAACAGGAAACAAGCAATGTCCCGGTGCAAGCACTGTACACTTTACAAATCCAAAATATTCGCTTACATCCTTAAAATCTGCTGTTATAAGTTTCGGATGCCCGATGGGATACACGCAGTTCTTGTTAACGTAAGGATACAGAGAGACGATATCGAAGTGATGGATCTTCTCATTCGGGCCGCATTCGTAAAGTAGCTTGTTTGCGTTAGTACGACCGCCTTTAAATGCTTCTTTTGGTTGGAGAGGACTGCGTAGGGACATGTCGCTCATATACTCCCGAATGTTTGGAACCTTCAACTGCTCGCCCCACTGGCATGACCACATTTCCACAAAGTTGAAGCCCCGAGCCTTTATGGAACAAACTTTGATCTGATATTCTTCGTAAACTTCTTGCATAGTCTTGTTTGATAAAGGTGAACGGTCAGTTGCGTTGGTACAGTCCGGGTGTCCATGAAAAACGCATCCATTGTATTCGTAAACCGTGTTAGTAAATCGATCGTAGCCGTCCACAAAATACTCATTGATGCGTTTTTCTTTTCCATTCCGTCCATGCTCGATTCGGCAATCCGCTTGAGTTTTGTTGACCCAGGTCAGCCACTGTGTTGCTTCCATGCTGGTGATTCTGTTAGTTTGATAACCGTGTGCTGAAATGACTCCGATTTCTTCCTTGCGGAGATTAAAAGTTCGAAAAAATTTCAAGCACGCTGAAGCAATGGTTACGGATTTGAAAGGATCAATGCACGCTAGAGCCATAAAATCATCTCGGAATTTAAGAGCACATTTCCGGAAAACTGACACGTCCATTGAACAGTAGCTGCTTAACTGTTGCCGAAAGTCGAAAACGCCGTTGCTTCTTGTTTTCTCGTCTTTATACCATTTAAGAAATTCAACTTTTTTGGTGGCACACATTGCTTCAATACCGTAAGAAGACGGGTTCGGGAAGGAATAATTTTATCCCAGTTTTCCGGCTGATTAATTTTGTGAGGGAAGTCACCTTTCTTCTCATCAGATTTAAGGCCGACAGCTTTAGGAAATTTAGACAAAGGCAACTGCACAAAGTTGAGAGTGTCCACTGCGTTGATAGACAAAGCCTTGTATCGAATATTCAGCAGCTGACTACCACGGCAGAGAATGTCTGGCTTCAAGTTATTGTCTATCATGTGGGCCAAAATGAAATGTCCATCGTATCCTCGCAGATTATGCGCAATTATCGTATAGCCTCGATGCTCTTCGCGAAAAAGCCATGTGCAGAAGTTGGAGATGACGTCATAATCTAGTAGAGGAGTACCGTCAGGAGGGAAACGAAATTCATCTCCGCACGAATACTGCGCGACGACGTAGTTTGGAATGTGAGTACCATCGACCGACGTGTAAGTTTCGAAATCAAAGAAAATGTACTTCGGATTAGCATCCAATTCTTCTGGTTCAAGAGGTTGGAAGTAACATTTATGCGAATTTTGAGGCACCCAGTCTTTGCAGGTTGAGCAGTACATTTCGTCACAGTTATGAACCTGATCCGGGCGATTGAGCATATTCACAAACTTGTTGCACTTGGAGCAGATGAAAAGATCCTCGCAAAGCGTCCTTCCATTTTTCGTAAAGTCTTGTGCACATCAAAGCACTCTTTGTTGGTGAAAGTTCGTCCACAATCGGGGCATAACTTTGGGTCACTGGCCTTGCAATCGCTTTTACTGCGATAACACATGTTGCATCTCTGTTCACAGCGATGATCTGTCTTTCGGCCGTATCCTTGATCGCAGTTTGTGCAATAATAACTCTGCATGTGGTATCCAGATGGTTTAGTTATCAGATCGAAATGATTTTTATCGTACATTAAGTAAATCTGCTTCATTCCCGGTTTCTTCTTCTCCGGCACTTGAGCGATAAGAGTGTTTCCTTCCTGCACAGAAATAACCTTGACTTGACACTTTAAAACGCGTTGAAAAGCCGGCAAATCTTCCAACCCAAACATTTTTCCAATAGTGAGACCCGCATCTTGGACCAACTGACACGCGAGTTTTTCCAACTTACGCCCTCTAGGATTAGTTAAAGCTTTCCATTTCATCTTGTCTTTGCCGCTGACATCATGAGTGTTTCTGAAATGACCGAGCGCCAATGCTGCAGGTAAGCAAAGGTTGTTTCCTGTTGTCACTGTAACAATAGACGAGCTGAATCGTTTTCGGTCAACCGTAGTATGGATATGTTTTCTTCTTCTTCCACCAGCCGGTATTACGGTCCGAACAATTGTAATTTGAAAACTTTCGTCGATGCAGAATGAGTTGCTTGAATTAATCATGACCATCATATCCATAAGGTCGTCAATCTTGAAATCTTGTAACCTTTTCATATGAAGATCAGCTTTGCGGTTGAGTGTATGACTGGAGAGAAGGATGACGATTCTGTCGTCTGGTCCGAATTCTTTCGTAATGACACTGAATATAGCTTCGAACACTTTGGGCATTGCTTCCATTGAGGTGACAGGATCGAATTTCATATTGAGGTTTTCGATTTTAACGCGATACGTGATTTCCGATGTTGAAAATTTCTTTGTTTGCTTTTCGTTGATCTTTTCCAGAGTAAAGTACTTTGTCCAGTCTGTGGATTCCAGTCCCTTGATCCACCGCTCTGTATGGCGTTAGCTTCCCGGTATTCACGAATGAGCTTTTGTTTCCCGTACAGATTGGCAATTGCATCGAGAGAAAACAGCCCTTCTGCCTTTTCTGGCCAGTTTTCATGCAACCATTGTTGCAGAAACTCGGCATAAAAGCGCAAAACTTCATCCAAGTTAAACATGGTTTCTGCTTACCTGCGATTAGTAATCCGCAAGCACAACAATAGCAAATGTCGGGTAACGGCCAGTAATCCAGTTAACACATAAATGCTTAGCTCGAAAACAAAAAAAGAAAACCTTTAGGAACAAAACAATCAATGAGACGAGAATGGAATACAAAGCGTGCTAAATACCTTTTACTATAAGCTATGCAGCTTCACATCTACTGCAACTTTTTACAGTTTCCTATGAAAAATTGTGTAGTCTAAGTTGCCAAAGGGCAGAACATGCAGTTTGATGGATGGTTTTAGAGTCTGCAGTGCAAGTGTACTGTTTAATATGGCAATTGTACGACGCCCGTTCAGATAGAATGCAGTTGTCGACAGAAATGTCGAGACTTAGAGGCACGAAGAATAGCGTATGGACGTGTGCGTGGTTAAATGTCTACAGAAACTGACAGATCACAGATGACAATTGCGATACGTGTGCTAAAATCGCAAAGTTCATGAAAATTGTGCACAATCAAACAAATAACGTGCAACAAAAGTGCACGCAGCTCGTCAGATGTTTGTGAAAGATACGCACTGTAAAAACGTTTTGGGCCTTACACACTTGCGGACAATGAGATGTTTATGGAAACTGGCATACATACAACAGTCAGATGTACCTTAGAAATGAGTATGTTGCAGAACTGTACGAATAATATGAGTAGGTAGAAACAAAATGTTCAGATGTTTGTAAGTAATCTGTACCCCTAGGATACGACATGAGAGTATACCAGCAGTTAGATATCTAAAGAAACTGTGTGTTGTGAGTTATTAAGGAATGAGCATGTTTTGACAGATCAGACGCCAAGGAAACATGTGTACGAGAATCATTAAAACACAATCTTCACCCAAACTTGCGCATAATGAGATGCCTATGTAAAAGACATATGTCAAATCACGAGCATTCATATTAAAACACAATCTTAACTCAGAGAAGAGCAAAAGTAGTAATAAAATATAAGTTAGATAGTTATTTTACGTAATAAATATAAAAATTAGATAAAATATGTAAAATAGATTTTATTCCATATCACCCGTTACTCTTCTAGCGACTTCTGGCCGGATGGCAGTCCGCACGACATCAAAAGGTCATACATACCAAGGGAGCCGCTGTTCTGGCGTCCAGATCTGTTTGATGCAACGGGTGCATTTCTACTAGCCGCAAATATTAACGCGTCGCCGGTCGCGTGTGGATGCGCATGGCCGGCGTGTGCACCAGTGCACCTGTGGATGATGCTGTTGCTTAGCTAACTCTCATGTGTCATGGGAAATGTATCGACAGTCTTGGCTGTGTATGTTGGAAAGTGTGAGGCAGTTTATCGGACCTGACTACTTGCTACTTGCTACCAATTTCGTAGGCGTGGTCTCCCGTAGCCGTTTTGGTAGCAAGTAGTTCCACAAAATGAGTTTATGCTGGCTGACTACTGCTACGTAGCTGGCTATGTAGCACCGACTATGTAGCGCAAATGTCTGCATAAACAGACGATGCTACGGGTAGTCGTGACTAGATTGCTAGCTCGTAAGGACAATGGTTAAGACATGTAGTAACCTCTTGAGGTTGCTAATGCATATACCAACTTCACAGATAATGCGGAGAAATTCGTTACAGTACACAATAACCATTAAAAAGTTTGAAACCAAGTTCGAATTAACAAACACGATCATGTAAGTAATAAAACTTTTTAAATTTTAACTTCAATTTTTTTAACTTTTAAATTAAATTTGAAAGTTAAACTGTATTTTTTTTAAAATTCAAGCTCAATTGGAACTTATTTTTTTTTTTAAATTTCAAAAAAATTTTCAAAGATTTCAGTTTAGATTTTAAAGATAAAATCTTGAAACAAATCAAATAAATAAAAAATGTTTCATGTGTACAATAAATTAAAAAGTTAAAAGCGGATTAAAATAATTTCCAGAAAACAGCAATATTACGAGTACGCCTAATATCGGCTTGCCATAATGTATTTAATGTCGGCTTGCCATATACCTAATGTCGGCTTGCCATAAGCCTAATATCGGCTTGCCATAGTCAAGTAACCCGCCACCATAAGAGGTTGTCCGCTGCCGCAGCGGTGGGCGGGCACTGCTGTTGCTACCTGCCGTTACTGTGGGCGGATGCCTTCTGCGGTCACACCGGGCGGGTGCCGTCTAGTCGTAGCAAGCCGCTGTGAACTGGCTACTTTCTTGCTATCAGCTAGAAGTGTAGCAAGCTGGCGACGAGTTTATGCGAACAGACTAGCATTTGTGCATCGGGGGAGGGGATAGCACGTAGCCACAAAGTCGTAGCAACCGCTATAAACTCCCTCTGTGATAACGTAGAGGAATGTCCTTGGAAATTTTGTGAACTGTATGCACTATGCACTGACATGCGGCAAGACGGTCACATTTTGTGACATTAAGCGTTTAAGGGGAGGTGCGGTGTTGGAGGATAAGAAATTATTCTGGCTTTTACCAACTTGGCGGAATACAGAAGTAGCTCACAGCGAATAAACGATTTGGCCCGGGTTTGCGCAGGTTTGCGCAGTATATTGTAAAGGTCATCTGGCGTAACCGTATTGATACGGGTAATAACGCTCAAATTGGACCGTTTCTGAAGAGTCATAATAATTATGTCGTATCGGTTGGTCAGTTAGAAGAAACCCTCGCTGCCCACGCGATAGGCTTAAACGCTTCGGTTTCATAGCATGCTTTATACAACCACCCTTATGTCTTTTCCGTATGTCATCGCTCATAAAGGGGAACAAACAATATTCAACAAAACCTTTTCCATCTCATAAAAGTTTTTATCCAATGCGAGCTACAGCTTCGGGGTCGGAGTACAGCTACACGCTACACGCTACACGCTGGTACACGTGCAGCTACACGCTGGTAATCCTTTGGCCCCAGGAAAACATTCGCCAAATCACGCGAAAACCCGGATCATATGATGTCATTACAGTTGCAATAAACGGAGGAAAAGAAAAAAAAGCCAGCAGAAACTAAACACTTGCTGTAGGGAAAACGCTGTACCACTACAATGCAGCATTAAAGATTCATCACAATATCATGACACGAAAACGGGATATCGCTGTGACGAAAAACTGCAGAAATTCCGTCGAATAAAAAGATAGGAACGCAGTCTAACAACAAGCTGATAAGTCAGACACTTGAAAGATGTTGCGGATTACACGTAGTAGGTGCGGACCGGGCGGACGACGGCGTAGCTGGCCGGGGCGGCGTATCCGGTGTAGGAGCTCAAGGGCATGTACTGGACGTTGGAGCTGTACAGCGGCGCTGACCAGACGTTGCGGTCGCTGTTGAGACTGCCGCCGCGCAGCGGGACCACCTGCAGCGCCGCCGACAGCGGTCCGGCGCCGCTGACGTAATCCGCGCCGGCGTCTGGGCTGGGACTGGCCACGGAGGTGATGACCGGGGGGTTGTTGTAGGTGCGGGAATGCGCCACCTCCACGGTGATGGACGCCGACTGCACGCCGCTACAGGACACGAATAACACCGCCAAAAATACGCCCACCGCCATTTTAACTGCCGGTTATATATACCGCACTGAAAATGTATAATACACAGTAATGAAATTCTATGCTGTATTGATCAACGTTTATAGCACTTTATATAGGAATTACTTTTCGGTATGTTTACTTTTGCATAAGTGATTAAGAAGAATGCTAATGCACAGGATACATATATGTATTTGTACATAAATGGTCACACTGCGCGGCCAGTTATAATGATACACACGCAGCATGTTGCCGGGCGAATTTGCTTATCCGTCGTAATTTTCGATTTAATTCCCTGGACAAAACCGGTCTTCCTGTGCGCGGCCCACTGCCGGACGGGATTTATCTGGCCAAACCGCTGACGAGCGGTGCTCTCAAGTGCTTCAAGACGTGCACATACAGATATTTGTACATGTACATCATGTACAGAACACCGACTGTAAAACTATTTGCACACGTTAAATGTTGCCGGTTTTGGCGCCGGAGGTATTATACGAGTACAGTACAAGCTTGTCCGGTAATTTCTGACGAATCAATACAGTCAAATAGACAAATTCACGATGTAGTGTAGTGGCAAAATTGGCACAGCGCAAACGCGCGCTAAATATAATGTGCTGTCTGTACCTTGACGTAGGAAATCACCGGACAGCCTTGTACACCATGATTATTTTCTTTTGCTTGATTATGATATTATAATAAATTTATCATTCATTTATTTTTACAATTGTTTATTACTATTAATTTTATTATTTACTGTGGTATTAAATCGTTCTCACGGTACGTACTGTGGCGGATGCAATCATAAATTTATGCAAAGCAATAATAATAAACTAATAATCAAAGTGAATGTATTATATTGGTGCGATGAAGCGAAGCCCTTTTTGCAACATGCGCCAATCCATGCAGTGAACAATACAACAAGTTGCAGTAATAAAAAGCACGGTGGAATAATAAACATAATATTCAAAAACATCCGGTAATGCATAATGAACTGTAGCCGTGTAACGATACATACAAAAAAGCAAAATATAACATTTAAAACATAACATGATGTCAAGGATTTTTGTTCTTGTTACTTATGTAATACGCGATGTAATTAACTATCTAATACAATTTTTTAACTACAAACATTGACAACAGAACATCTCTTTAGCAAATATTGCTAAAAAGATGTAGGATGCAAAAGATTATTTTTTGTATTTGTATTGCTAAAGAGATGTTTATATATTTTGTATTTAACGTGATAATGTCGGTACCGTTGAGAATGCTGTATTGTTTAATCGTAATTAGATCTTGATATTGTTATCGCGCTGTTGAAACAAAGTATATTAAACATAATAAGTTTCATATAAAAAACGCATGTAAAAACATGTCGGCAGATATTTGACAAACAGCAATATTACAGCGGCATTTGAGACTTGTTTTATGCATTTCTGGGTGATTATGCTGATGAAACTGTATTATATTGCAATGTATACGTAACTTTATTGTAATGACACTAATTGAACACGTCCCGCGAATTATTACAGGTACAGACTACTTCCTTATAGATCTTTCGTCTTCCGTCTTCTGTTGTAATTTGCCGGGGTGTGGGCATATAATGGCCAGCGATGGTTGGTTGTCTGTTCAGTCGTTGATGTACGTAATCCGCTCGTAGCCCCAGAAATCGACCGCGCGCCTCCACTAACGTAACCATGACCTTTATCGCTTCGGTCAGTCGTGGCGTGCTCGGTGCGCTCGTGGTCAGTGCGCACGCACTGATTACCGGCATCGATTGGGCCGATTTCTTTCTGAACGGCACCGTGGACAATGCCCAGTACTGTCGACAGTACAAGTACAATCCCGTGCTCTTCGTCGTGACCAAGACATTTTCGCAAAGGATGTCGACCATTGCCTTCCTCATTATGGCCGTCTCCGTGTATTTCTCGGGACAGCAGTGGTCAGCATAGGATTAAAAAATTAAACGATGAAATATGGGATTTAATATAGGACACCAGTGCGCCAAATATAAAAATGGAGTTAACTGTATTTTATAATTTTTATCATTAGGGTTTTGCTGAATGTCTTGCACAGTACAGACACAAGCAATCCCGGAGCACAGCTAAACTGCGTTCATTTCTGTTCCGATTCTTACGCAAATTGTACACTTGGTCTATTTATATTTTCAAATGATCGTGGGAAAAACCCTAGGTCACTGTACCGGACCATACAGCGGGATCTGCGTGGCGACGGCGCCGCTGACCGGGCACTAAATATAGCGGGCACTGTCGGTGACCTTTAACAAGCCAATTATTTGCTTATTGGTAATAACCGAATAATTGTCTTGTTAAAGGTCACCGACAATAAAATCATATTATTACTGGCAATTCCCATACATCGCGCCATACTATTTGTTAGAGATATAATTAATGTGGTTTTCACGTTGATTTGATGGCAATCTGTACGGCTGAAGGCCCATTATAGGTTGGTGCGCGTACGTACTTGCGTTTGATGGTCAGTGTGGCTGTCTGCTCTAGAGCGAAGAGATTGTGGAGACGACCCGTCGATTGTTGGCGGACTGCATCCGGCTGCGCCATAATGAAGTCCACAGGGCGTCCCTGCCGATGGAGGACGAACCGGCGGCCCACCATCGACCGGTACGTGTGAATCTGTACACAGTCACCAGTGAAGATGGAGGCATCAGCCTTTGACAGGCTGACGCCGCCGCTGCCGGCACCGCTGCAGTAAACACGCTAGGCGCGCTCATGGGATTAAGAATTTTCTTACAGGCATAACTTCTCCAACCGGATGTTGCGCGCACCAACGATCACGTTTTCATGCATACAAATCATCTAGGTGCACAATGCATGCGATATTGCTGTAATTATGTGTATGTAAGCTGTTATTATATTAAATTTCTATGGTACATGTATTGCGCCATAAATTAACTAATGTGAATTCACCATCATTGCATTTTATGGCGCACTCCATGTGTAATACATGCGCGGCCCGCGTGCATATATACTGTATATGTACAAAACACTATTAATTTTATATACGTATATTATATACGTATATAAAATATATAGATATATATATATATAGATATCTATATATAGATATCTATATATATATATATTCTATATATATATATATCTGTATATATATATATATATAGACATATATATATTAACTATATACATATATATCTATATATATATATATATATATATATATCTATATACATATATATATTATATATACATATATGTATATATATATATATATATCTATGTATATATATATATATATATATATATATATATATATATATATATATATATATATATAGATTATATATATATATATATATATATATATATATATATATATATATATATATATATATATATATATATATATATATATATATCCATCTGTATTCACCGGCACCCATGGATTGATAATTCAATTTTAAGCAGATGTCTACGTATATTAGTCAATTAGTAATTTATTATTCAATATATTAGTAATTTAATATTCAGTCTCTTTTCTTATTCAACAGGGCCCTTTCACATACTGTATATAAAGGCTTGCGCAGGTGTACATACTACAGAGTGCATTGTACAAACACTAATTCAAAATAATTCGAAATATGGAAAAATATAATTTAAATATTGGAAAAAACAACCAAAACCGTTAACTGAATTTAATTCGCTTTATGTGCGAGACTGGACAAACGCGTAGAAAAGCGGCGTAATTGTCCAGATTAAGCCCAAATCCCAGTATGCTGATAACTGCACACTGTGCACAGGCGTCTTAATTCTTCACAGTTTACCAATATTATTATCAACTACGTTGCGCACCGGAAGTCCTTGCCATTCGTTCGTTTGCCATGTTGAGCTCTGGCATCGTGGTGAAATTTCCATCGAATCAGATGGGAAAGAGGTTTTTTCAGGAATTCCACGCGGACTACAAAAAAAACATTCGTACGGATTTCGAGATACGCACGGTAAAGGTACGCAGGCAATGTTGAAATTGCGCCAGAAAGCCGAACCGTTCTGTAGCCGAACCGACCCGAAATCGGCCATCACAACACAGTGAACGAACCGTATTTCCAATTTTACTGTCAATATTTGCTCACTTTTGAACGTCTGTTCCACAACCTTGGCTTCTTGCAATAATTCCCCCATTCCAACGGATCCAAATCCTCAACGGAATATTTAATTATCACACTGTCTGGAAGGAGCTGCAGGCAGGAGTAGGACGACGAGAATGCCTAAGAAGAAGAAAAGCGCCGTGTTCGTGCGATCGGAGAGCTATCCAGCCGCACCCCCCGTCATTCCCTTGGGATCCAGACCCCCCTTCCTGCCCAGCAGCAGCCACCCCCCGATCCAAAATACGACCCATATCCCCCCGCTCCTTCCCCTCCCCTTCCCCCCACCGCCCCCCTTGCCGTTCGCGGGCCCCCAGCCTTTCCCCCCGCCAGGCACTGCTCCCTCGCCCCGCCGCCGCCTTCGCGCCCCAACCGTTTCCCCCGCTCCCGCGCCTCCCCTACCACCCCCCACCCGTGCGGCACCACGCCCCCTTCCCCCTGGCGCCCCCGGCACCCCCCTTTGGCGGCCATCCCGACGTCTACGCGCAGTATCTCTTCGCGTACCCCTACGGTTCCCTGTACGATGAGCGGCCGCAGCGTGTGCCTCGGCCCGCTCCGCCGCCGGTGGTCGCTGTTAACCAGAATCCGGGTCCGGTGCAAATGGATGAGGAGACGGTGCCGCGCGGCTGGTCCGTCGAGCGAGTCGTCTGCGGGCCCGCGAATCCCGTTAATGCAGCAGCGTCGCAGGCGCCCATTTCCAGCGCCGCCACCACCGTCAGAGGTACGCGACAGAACATCTGACGTAAGTAATTTTTATGCAAAACATAAATAAATATTTAAATTAATTCAATTAATAATATACGGTAATTTATTTTCAAGAAATAAATGATCTCTTATTTGTAATTTACTGATTTACTGCCGGTAGCAGTTTAATACAAAATCTGTTTTTAGTAATGGCATTTATTAATGGATTTTTTTAAGTAATAATTACTTAATTTAATATACGTATTGTAGTTTGTAAGAGATATTAATGGGATTTTTAAACAAAATCAGGTAATTTTTAAAAAATGCAATGCCGAGCCAAAAAATATAAATAATAATAATAAATCTGTAGTCGATAAAATTGAGTAGTAACTCAACGGGCCAGTAATTAATATTTTTAATTGGTGACATTTTTAATGATATTAATTGTACCCTGAGCATTTCCGTTATGCTTAATGTTTATTTGTATTTTTTTTCTGGCCGTAAATCTCGCAGAACTCTGATATTTATTTTAATAATAATACAATTTTAAACTGATTGTTTTTGTTGGGAATAATTGAAATTTCGTGGCTTATCTTGTAGTGACGAAGAGCAAAGTGAAGCGGGAGCGGCGCAAGGCGGAAGCGGTGTCGGCCGCGGCGGCGGGCGTGCAGCGCGAGGACTCCGGCGAACGCCGACTGCGCGAGTTCGGCGAGGAAATGCGACGCTTCGTGGAAGACACCACCGGCGTCAAGATTATTCGTAATGCAGCAGCGCCGCCGCCGGCCAAACCCGTCAAGAATCCGGCTCCCAAACTGCGCCGGGTAAATTCAGATATTTTACAATATTTATTATCAGACAGGTTAAATATTAAAATATTTATTAATCGGTCCACCTTTTAAAAAAATACTAAAATAAAAAGCATATAAAAAAGATACTCGTATATAAGAAGCGTATACAAAATACAAGTTAAATAAGAAGTACAGATTTTTTAATTAATTACTTTAAAAGCCCAACATTAAAATATTTTAAAATATTTATTAATAAGTAGATGTAATATTTAAAATATTGAATAATCGGTGCAACATTTTCCACGCTGATGGAGACGCACTGCGCTGACGACTGGCCTTGTGTTTCGCGCAGATCTTCCCCGCGTACAAAGGCGCCGGGAAGCGGCAGGACACGGAGAAGACGGTCAGCGGGACGCTGGTCATCAACAGCAAATCGCCCACGCAGGCCTACGTTCGCGTTCCCGGGCAGGTGTGATTGATGTTCAGATCTATTTTCTAATCACTTAATTAATAAAAATAAAATATGCACCCTGGAATTACTGTTAATTTTATTCTTATAAAAAGTCCCGTAAATTGCCATTAATCAGGTGATTGATTCGGGTATTTTTCTCAAATAGTGAAAGTTCAAATACGGCAGTAGTAACATCAATTCGGCGTCAAAAGCGGCAGTAAATAGGTAATTAATTTTCTAAAAATTCCTGTAATGTAATGAAATACAGTATAAAATTGCTAATAAGTTGGTAATTTTGGTTTTATTTTACGAAAAAATATTTCTAATAATATTGACCAGTTGCCGTTGTTAAAAATATATCAGCTATTAAATTGCTGGTAATTTGACGTGATTATTCTATAAATGCTGTAGAAAAAAATTCTAATAATATGTGGAAATTTTTCAGGACAAGGGCGACATCAATATCTGCTGCAAGGAGGACCGCAACCGCGCCCTCAACGGCGACGAAGTCCTGGTGGAGATCTTCCCGCGCAGAGACTGGAAGGTCAGCGCCACCGCTCCCTCGCTTGGCGCTTTTTTCCCCAATATTATTTTTTCCCCGATTATTATTTCATATTTTTCCCGAAATTATTATTTCATATTTTTCCCGAACATTTATTATTTTCCCGATTATTATTGTCTATTTTCCCCGAATAATATTTATTATTTTTCCCGATTAATAATTATTATTTTCCCCGATTATTTACTTTTTTTCCGACGATTATTGATTATTTTTCCCGAATATTAATTATTAATTCTTATTTTTCCCGATTATTATTTCGTATTTTTCCTGCATATTATTTGTAATTTTTCCCCAATTTTTGGCGCAGATTCGCGGGGAATATCTGAACGCGCTGCAGGAGAAGCTGGGCATCCACGACGTGGAGCTGGGGGAGGCCGTTAAGAAGGAGGACATCCTGCGGGCCGTCCGCGCCGTCCGCGCCCCCACTTCCGACTACTCGGAGCCCAGTTCGCAGGGCACGGAGCCCGAGGCGACGGCGGCGGCGGCGGCGGAGAAGACGGCCGGGAAGACGAAGAAGAAGGCGGCGTACACAGCGGGCGGGCAGTCGCAAGGGGGTAAATGGATGGACATCGCCGTCCAGCTCATCGGGCTGCAAAACATCCCGCCCGAGTGGCTGCAGCGCACCGGCAAGGTGCGTCCACCAGTTTTTATCCTCATCAGTTTTTCCCATTTTTATTTGGGTTGGTTTAATAGTTATTTAATTTTTTGTTAATTTTATGTAGTTGGTATTTGTTATTTTTTGTACAATAAAAAAATTTGTTTTTGTTTTTTATTATTTTTCTTTATACAATTTTCTAATAGTTTTCTTTGAAAAATTATTACGTTCTGGGAGCCATTTTACTTTTCTGTTTTCGTTTTATAATTTTATTTCTAACGTTCCCTTTTTTCTTTGACTTTTTTCATTCATGAAATTGTCCAGTAATTTTTTTTGCCATTGTCCATTAATTTTTTTGTCCAGTAATTGTCCAGTAATTTTTTTTATTTAAATTATTCCAGTTTTTGTAATTTTTTTGACAGATTAAAAACAACTCGGAGGATAAATTATTTTGTGGCTATATTTTTCCACGTTAAGACGATCAGGTTAAGCAAGAACTTTGCTTAAGTTTTTTCTGGTAAATTTTTCCTTTTTATAATCTCTGGTTATTTACTATAAATTGATACAATTTATTTTATAATTTAAATCGAATTTGTTTTAATTACTCGTGATAACAAATTGTTTTATGGCTATTCTTCTTTTTTTTAGGTGATTAATTTAATTCAGCCGAAGGGCACACGGCAGGCCGTCGGGCGCATCGTGCGCAGTAAAAAACAGCCGAAAACGCCGTCCGTCCCCTCACCGGAAGCGGGGGACGCCCCCGGCGCGGCGTACGTGCTGGAGCCGTTGGACGCGCGGATGCCGCTCATCGACATTGCCGCCCAGGATTTCCCCACAGGTTTCTGAACAGTACATCCATATCTGCAATAATTAGAAATTGATGGGTGAATATTTGCAGAATTATTACTGGAATGGCAGCGCGCACCGGCCGGACTGTTTTTGGGGGAAATCAGTCAGTGGAGCGAATTTCAAGCATCTCCCACCGGGTACAGAAAAACATTTCGACATGGCATTTTAAAATTAAATGAATGAATTAATTAACGAAAAATACTCTAAATAAAATCAATAAATTAAATTTAGCCGTTATAGTAAAATTATTTAAGCGACAATTAAATGAAAATAAATCAAATCAGACGGTTTAGATTGAATTTATGTAATTAAATAAGCAAAATAAATCCAAGAAAATAAACCGATAATAAAGGAAAATTAACGAAATAAATATTACAGAAAATCATTGTGATCAATTCGTTAAAATAAATCAAATAAATCACGTGAGAAAATGAATAAATTGGCTTAAATAAAATAAAATTGACGGTTGTGTGCAGGCGCGTCTTGAAGTCGATCGGGGAGGCGGCGAGCATTGCCAGCTGGACGACGCACATTCTGACGGAAAACAGCGTGGAGGATGTTGATTTCGAGCCGGAATTGTTGGCGGATTTCGTGGCCAACGCGCCCTGGACCTTCACACCGGTATCTCCTTTCATTTGCTTCATGGAAATTTTTACAGATTATTTTTTTGAAATTTATTTGCTGTTTTAAAGCCTATTTTAGCAGATGTAAAAAAAATACTACAATAATAATAAGTAATTACACCTAATTTATTGGAGAATTTGGATTTCTTTATTTATTCTGGGTTTTAATATATTTTTGTAAGGCTTTAATAATTTTGCTTATTAACTGTGATTTTTGAAAAGCTTGTTTCCCTTGTGCGATCATTTTCGTGTAATTAATTTTCTTTTTTAGGAACCTGTTTTTGATTCTTCACAATTTATTGTGATTTTGTAATTTGATTAACATGTTATTATTTTGTCAGAAACGTTTTGAAATGTTGTTTTGAATATATTTATTGTTTAAAATCTCATTTAATCAGATTCAGAAATTTTTAATTATATTAATAACTTACTTATTCGTTTTTTTTAAATTTATTCAATTTTTTCAACGTTTTCTCGGCCTCCAGGAGGAGCTGGCCGCCCGCACCGACCTCCGCGACCACTGCATCTTCACCATCGACCCGCCGGACGCCCGCGACCTGGACGACGCCGTGTCGTGCGCCGCCCTGGGCGGCGGCCTCTTCCGCGTCGGCGTCCACATCGCCGACGTCACCGCCGTCCTCCCCGAGAACTCGGCGCTGGATTTGTTCGCGCGCCGTCGCGCCACCTCCGTCTACCTGGTCCATCGCGTCGTGCACATGCTGCCCAGCCAATTAATCAATCAACTGTGCTCCCTGGATCCGGGCGCGGAGCGGCGGTGTTTTTCGGCGGTTTTTGTCTTAACCGAGGAGGGCGAGATGGTGGAGTACGAGCTGCTGCGCGGGATTATGCGCAGCCGGGCCAAACTCTCTTATTTGCAGGCGCAGGTAAATTCGCCGCGACTTTTAACAAATATTTTATTAATTTTCCTCCTTCTAATGGTTTTCTGTAATTTTGATTTTATTTTTTTTTGGGAATTTGTGGTTGAATTTTTTTAATTTGCTGCGGGGATTTTGCTTTGCATTTTTGATTTTTTAGAATTATGTTTTATTAAATTTGTAAATTTTTGTTTTTATATTAATATTTGGCCTAAACTTTTCGGTTATTTTTTTCTTGTACTTTTAATATGTGTTATTATCTTTAAAATTATCTTTAAATTTCAATTTTTTCAACATTTATTTTCCGTAGAAACATTTTACTCTGAATTTATGGGGTTTAAATTGTATTTTATCGGTTTGAAATTTTCTGAGTTAAGAAATAACTTTGATTTGTTTAATGATTTATTTTGATTTCAGTTGTACGAGTATTATAATTGTGATTGTGTGTAGAATGTGATTGACGAGCCGGTGGGCGCGGTGCAGCGCATGGCCGGCCTCATCCCGTCGCATTCCTGGGAAGAAGCGGACACCATCTGCCGCACCATCCTGGACGTGGCCCGCATCACGCAGGCCATGCGCCGGCGCCGTTTCGCTGCCGGTAAACTATTTTTACATTTTATTTTAATTTAATTTGTATTTTTTATTAATATGTACGTGTTAATTATTCGTCGCTTACTGTATTTTCTCTTGATTATCGTAATAAATCAGTTAAACTTTTTTAATAATTATTATTATTATTTAGTAATTATATTATTTATTTCATTTATTTATTCTAGTATTTATTTTTTTATTGTTAATATTTAATGATAATTATTCTGTGATTTGTAGAGTATGATTATTTTTGGTGAATTATTTTTTGTTTAATTATTAATAATATTTGAATTATTCTGGGTAGGCGCGCTGGCCATCGAGCAGCCGGAGTTCCGCTTCCGGTTGGACGCGGCGGGGATGCCGTGCGCGATGCAGCGGCAGGAGCACTGGACCAGCTGCCAGTAAGCGCCGACGGGAAAAATCCGTTAATCGCTTCATGACACGAGTTTTCGAATGTTTTTCGCTGGCTGGCAGGTTGATCGAGGAGCTGGCCTTGCTGACCAACATGGTGGTGGCCAAACGCATCCAGGACGTGAGTTACTCGCGAAGAACAATTAAATTTATTTTTTAACCAGTCAGTCGACCAACGAAAGGCTTCAGAATTTTGTAGAAATTTTTAACCAACGATAGACATTTTTCTTAATTTTTTGGAAATTAATTTATCAACAAAATTCACCAGATTTTTGCCACCGAAGGAAATTTACCAGTATAAAAAATTAATTTAGTCCCATAACAAATTAACTAATTTAAATAATTAATTAACTAATTATAAATTAATTTAATTAAATTATTAATTTAATATTATAAAATATTAATGAAATAATACTTTAATTTAATTAATTTTTTAGGAAATGTTATGATAAAAATGGAAAATATTTTCAGAAATTAATTTCGTGTAAGAAATCAAGATTTGTGTGTTTCGGTAGGATTTCCCGGAGACGGCGCTGCTGCGGCGGCATCCGGCGCCCTTCACGGCGCCCCTGGAGGAGCTGCAGCGGCACTGCCGGCTGCTGGAGCTGCCCATGGACGTCAGCAGCGCCGCGGCCATCCAGCGCTGCCTCTCGTCCATCACCGCCGCCCAACCGCAACTGCAGCCTGTTCTGTCCTCGCTCTGCGCCCGCGCCATGAAACTGGCCGAATACCTCTGCCCCGGGTACGGATTAAATCGCCATTTAATTTAATCAATTTTCCACCTGAATTTATTTGTAAAAAATGATTTAAACATTTTCCTGATATTATTGTATAAAAATGATTAAAAAATTCCGGATATTGTATAAAAAAATCATTAAAACAATCCTGATATTGTATAGAAAATTTTTAAAAAATTCCTGATATTGTACTCGTATAGAAAATGATTAAAAAATTCATGATATTGTATAAAACAAATATTAAAAAATTCCTGACATCGTGCAAAAAATTGTTAAAAAAATCCTGATATTGTATAAAAAAATGACTAAAAAATTCCGGATATTGTATAAAAAAATCATTAAAACAATCCTGATATTGTATAGAAAGTTTTTAAAAAATTCCTGATATTGTATAAAAAAAGATTAAAAAATTCCTGATATTGTATAAAAAAAGATTAAAAAATTCCTGATACTGTAGGAAAGAATTATTAAGCAATTCCTTAAATTGTATAAATAATAGTAAATCATTAAAAAAATTCCTAAAATGTTTAAAAAATGATTAAAAAATTCCTAAAATTGTTAAAAAATTCCTAAAATTGTAAAAAAATGATTAAAAAAATAAGAAATGAAAAACTTACAAATTGCAGCCCCGGAGGCGGTCGCCCGGACGACGAGGGCCATTGCGAGCCGGCGGACACGTGGCACTACGCGCTGGGCGTGGCGCACTACACCCACATGACCTCGCCGATCCGCCGCTACGCCGACATCCTCGTGCACCGCTTTTTATCCGCCTCCCTCGGCACCTCGCCCCCGCCGGCCCTCTCCCTCGAAGAACTCAAGGACATCGCGCGCAACTGCAACGAAAAGAAGCTGAACGCGCGGAAATGCCAGGAAGGCAGTTGGGATTTATTTTTCGGATTATTCCTCAAGGAGCACGGCCCCCTGCGGGAGGAGGGCGTGGTCGTGGGGGTCCACGCCGCCGGGCTGGCGGTGGACGTCCTCGTGGGGCGGTTGGCCCTGACGCAGCGCATTTTTGTCAAAAAAGAGGCCAGTGTCAAGGCGGTGAAGCATCGCGTGGATGGGATGAAGCGGAATTTGTTGGACGTGGTGTGGCAGGGGCGCGAGGGCGGCCCCGAGGGGCTGGGGGTGTGGAGTCGTGTGGGGGTGCGGCTGTTCGTCAAAGTGGACGAGAAGGATCCCGATCCGCGCAATATCCTGGTCAGTCGGAATTTTTACCGAATTATTCATTTTGTTTGTCGAATTATTCATTGAAAATAATCGGTATAATGTATGGATTTTCTTAATTATTATTGGACAATTTATATTTAATTTAATCGATTTTCTACGATACTTTTGCGCAATTTTTTAATCTATTTATTTTCCATTTTTCTGTCGATTATGTAATAATTTGGTAATTATTTATTGATAAATTGCCGAAATTGGGGAGTTATTAGATTTGTTTTCCGTATTTATTTTTCTGTTATTTTTGTCCTGTAGTTCGCGCTGGAACCGCCGACATTCTCCAGTCAATCTGCTCCGTCCCATTCTTGAGCCCGACATTTTAAAGAATTTGTTGGTTTTTTCCATTTATTTATTTTTCTGCCCGCTCATTTTGTGAACCCGTATTTCCAATGATAAGTCTCTGGTTGTTTTTCTCTGTACATTTTAGCCTTTCAATGCATTAGACAACGCGCTGTGTTCGTTCATGTCTTTCCGGCAGAATTGTTTCCGTGCTTGATTTTTTTGTAACCCGAACGAAGATGATTATTGGAATTATTCGCAGTTTACACCTTTCTCTTGCCCGGATTTTTGGCGGACCATTTTCCTACGAAATTATCCACTCTGCTGTTTTTTTTTTTAAGACGGATGTATGATTTTTGTATCGTACGGAATTAAACATTGAGTCGCGAATTAATTAATTTATCTCGATTAATTCCGAATTAATTCTACAAAATAAAAATAAATAAACGCAAGCAAATTAAAATAATGTTATCCTGTTATGTTGCATAGCATTCTTTAATTCTGGACTTTATTCCCTTTTTGGATTCAAAAAACGGATGGTGATAAAATGCGTCTAGAAATAGATTAATTTATTAATAAACATTATTCTTCAAATTAATTCTGTGCTTTTCTGGTCATTACCAATATTCCCGAAATTTATTTTGGGATAATAAATTTATTTTTATATAAAATTAATATTTCGAAAATTTATTTTTGCAAGAAAAAACCTGTAGAAAATTGTGTAAAAATTAGAAAAGTTTTCTCTTATATTTTTTTTGCAAAAAAGCGCGATAAATTGTGATAGGAAAACAAGGGTGAGGCGGACACGTGTATTGGGTGAAAACCGATTTGTTTCGATAAAATAATAATTATATTACAGGAATAGCAGACTCACTGACTACGAACGAGACCAAGTGTAAACGCTGCGCACATGCCACACAGTTCAAAAGCAAAACGTTCAAAAATGAGAATCCGAGGAACAGCAGCGAGACACAGACGGAAAAATGCCCGGTAAAACAAGGAGTAATCGCCGCGGACGGCGGCCGCGGGAGGTAGCGCCGGTGACTGACTAAAACCCGGTTTAAAGACGTAAGAAAACAAAAAAAAAACAGAATACAACAGCGCGACTGATTAGACACCAAATATTAAGATTGCACAACGTGGATAAACATTTTCCACGGATTTGACGATCATTTCCGGAATACTCCGTGTTTTCTCCGTGCGCACAGGATTTTTACTTCCCTGAATTAAGCGCGCTCTCCGCGGATGCGACGGGCCAACTGCAAACAACATTCCCAAAATTATTAAATTTAAATCACAAATTTATTCCAATTTTATTAGATTTAAATGTAACTGTTTACCGATTAATTTAATTTTATTTACGAATTTAATATTACGTTCAAATTAAAAATTCCAATTTTACCAGATTTTAAATGCAACTGTTTACCAATTATTTTAATTTTATTTACGAATTTAATATACATTTAATTATTAGAATGTAAAATTTCAAACCGACGTTTTAATGTTTCCAATTTTTTTAACAATTATTTTCGGACACAACCGCTCATTATGAAGCTGTGGAAACACAAGAAAGGTTAAATCCAATGTTTCCCAGATTAAATGCGATTAAAACAAATTATTGTCATTATATTTACGAATTTACCGAGTATTAATTTTAATTAATTAGTTTTGTTTTATTTTCAATATTTTCCAGACAGCGAGTTTATTTATCACACCCTGGAAGCTGAGCAAATCCGGATAAAAAAAATAACGCGAGCGTTCCGGAAAATAAAACAAAAATTAATTCACCAGTAATATCCGCTTGCTAAAAAAATTGCTCCAGCTATCAAGATAAATTCGTAAATTAATTTTAAAAGTAATAAAATTAATCTAAAATTAATTAAAAATTAATCAAGAATTAGTTTAAAATTAATTTAAAATTAATTTAATTTAAAAATACAGCCATTTAATTTAAAATTAATTAATGGGCGTGATATGGGATCGGCACTGACCTGAATGTCTTTGGGCATGATGGTGACGCGTTTGGCGTGGATGGCGCACAGATTGGTGTCCTCAAATAACCCCACCAAATACGCCTCGCTGGCCTCCTGCAAACCACAACAAAACCCCCATTCAATCGGGCATTCATCACAAAAACAGAGTCGACATCCTTTCCAGCCGTTTATTTACGCCACAATGTCATCACCAAATTCTTCCTGATTTTTCTCATCGAATTTCCCGTTTCCACCCTTTTATTTTTTATTAATTTTTTTGTTTTTTTAATTTTTTTTTCTCGTAGCTAGTTCAATAAAAAAATTACACAGCTATTGGCAATAAGAAGTATTGCTTGCATCACAGCTTAATTAAATTTATTTCAATTATTAATGGCGATTAATGATAAATCATCAGCCAGTTAATCGAAAGTTAAAATTAACTCCATAATTAAAATTAATTTCCGTAACGCGTATACCTCTTAATAATTTAGAAAATTAATACCGGTGTGAAAATTGAAAAGGAAGGGGAAGAGCGGGGTTATATTGCAGAATACAGACTGGTATACGTCACACGCAATTATCACAAAAGCAGCCGTCTGACGCTGCGGATTTCTTTGTGATCTTTCCCCGAATGTATCGATCCATTCTAAAAGCCTGCAGGCCATTACAGCCACTAATCCCTAACACCCACTCTCCCACGGATAAAAGAGGTCACTCTCTTCTCCAAAAAATGCTGGAACCGATTTAACCATCTGCACATCCCGTAAAAGGAACGTTCAGTTCTTAACATAATTCAAAAACAAGATAACAAAAAATACAAAATCAAAATATTAAGCAATTAAACTCGAACGAGCGGCTCCGTTCCCAGTAATACGGCCATTATACAGTACGCAACTGAACAGGAACGCCATACAGTGCGCACCATTTTGGAGCAATATTTTCAATATTCTCATGTTTAATTGTTTATCAATTGTTTAAGAGATATTGCATCGCTTTCAGGTATTAACTATTAATCTTTTTAGCGTCCGAAATCTCATAAAATAACTTGAACAGATTTATAATGCACCATAAAAGGAAAATTTCATGTTAAACAATTTAAGATGATTATTTTAAAAAAAGCAGAATATTTTGACTTTTGGGCACAAGTAAAACAAAGCGAACTCTCCAAATCCCTGTAACGCGACCATCACAAGTAGCATTCTGAACAGGAGCATCACACAACGCGCACAATTTAACGAATGTTAATTACAAAAATCTTTGTTTTATTTGTCTACACTTTACTTTACGCTGTTCGCCATTTTTAAATCACAGAAACGGAAGGTAATAAATGGATAAAAAAGGAAAACTGTCTAGAGCCGTGAACGGACCTGCAGGGCGCCGATGGCGGCGCTCTGGAAGCGCAGATCCGTCTTGAAGTCCTGGGCGATCTCGCGGACCAGACGCTGAAAGGGCAGTTTGCGGATCAACAGCTCCGTGGATTTCTGGTAGCGCCGGATCTCACGCAGCGCCACCGTCCCGGGACGGTAGCGATGGGGCTTCTTGACGCCCCCGGTGGAGGGGGCCGACTTGCGGGCGGCCTTCGTGGCCAACTGTTTGCGGGGCGCCTTGCCACCAGTGGATTTACGGGCAGTCTGCTTTGTGCGGGCCATTTCACACCAAAATACTCAAAAACTAACAAAACTTCACACAGGAATGTGCAAATGAAAATACAACACAGTGACCTAGGTTGGAATATTACGTGAGTGGTGAGACGGGTGCAAAATGCTACGGAAAACGTGTGATTTAGTCAATACACAGTGATCTGACTGCAGCGAATGAGGCGCACGATGCAAGACGGTTGCAGCCAAGGCAAGAATCGTCGATTTGCACGCGGCACGCTCCTGCAACTTTCGAATTTTTGCCTGCACGCACTGCCACAGTACAGAGCGTTGGCTGTAGCCGATATGCGCAGAGCGTGTTTAAGCGTGTTTCTGTGCTCTTGATTCGCGTATGCGGTATTTCTACGGAAACGTCGGCTTTGCTCGTCACACACAGTCACACAGAGACAGCCGTTGTATCCGCGAGTGGTGCCCTCTCGTATTTTCCGCTGGTAACCGGTCGTCAGCGCCGTCTGACGCACACGCGGCGTTGGAATTTTTATTGATTAGATTTTCCTGTTCTTTCGGCGGCCTTGTTTGTAACTGCGGTTCGCGGAAAAAAGCAGTGGAAGAAGCGCCGATGAGTCACCGAGCCAGGTTTATAAACAAAACGAAGAATTTTGCTTCACGTTTAAACGCGAACAGACAGGAAAACCAGGTGGCCCGCTTCGTGACTCATCAACCGCAGCCGCGCGATGAATGGATGACATCAGCAGCGGGAGGCGGGGCTGTAGTAACGCGTGCGTGGACGGAACGCACTGATCGTGTATCGCGACACCGACTCACAGGGCCGTACTCCGATTTGTACTCCGACGCGGAGTCACTGCAGCCTGTTTTCCGTGCAGTGTAGCAGAAAATTAATTGGCCCGTATCGTGTTGGTTTTTGGTGGCAGCGATCGGGCAAATATTACACAACGCGGTCATTATAGGGACAATAAAGATGACGCTTGATTTGTTTTGGTTAACTTTTGATAGAACTATGTTGTAAGAAGGTTAGACGGAATGAAGAGTATGGGTAGAGAGCACACGGACGGAATAAAGTCTAAATAAGCTGTGGCGACCCACGCGGGTCTTCGCGCTCACATCGCGCAGCCTTTTTCGCGCACTTTCTCAAGTGCCGTTGCACAAATCCTACTGTGAACGTGATTATTGTACTAGGAAGTAATCGGGGCAGCAAAAATGACGGGTGTTGTTGATAATCCACAAGAAAACGAAGCAGTGTATCAAAGGGTAAGATTATCGAAGATTGTCGCAATAACTTTCCTAGTTCCTCGTCGAAATTACCTTTCTCGTTATTTTCTTCGTAGAATCGTTACCGAAATAATTTTCAAATTTATGTAATAATTTTACCAACTTTGCGCAATTTTTTTATAATTTTTTTGATTTTTTTCCAATGGTGAAAACTAAAAGTAAAAAGATTGTTTTTCCAGTTAGGTTTTTATTACTGTGATTAAAAATTATTTTACTTATTCGATTTTAATTTGTTATTCGTTCCATCTTTCGTCACAAGCGTTGTGAATCATGTGATTTATTGAAGGTGGTCGGGTTGATGCACGCGGCGCAGGAAACGGGAAATGATCTGGACGCGCGACTCACGCACTTACTCAGCGTAAGTCAACGCATTTAAATTATTTAATTTTTCTGCATTAAATTTTGATATTTATTGTCTTCATGAAATCTATTTAATTTGAAAATTTGCGTAAGATTTTTTATTTAATTTATGTGATGTTTTGATAATATTTTTCTTATTTTTGTTCTTTATTTTTTAAACAGTGAAACGTTAGAAATTTTTTTTCTACAATTTTGTAGCTTGTATTAACTGCAGAAATTAATCTTCAATTGTTACAGATGGTGAATTTCACATATTAATTTTTTATGTGTGCTGATTTAACAAGAGCTGAATTTGTTAATATAATAATTTTATTTTTTTATTGTTATTGTAAGCTATAACGAAGTGTGTAGAAAAATTCCGGATTATGTTCATTTTGGTATTTTTTGTTTCTTTCTCTCTTTTATTTGCGGTAAATTTCATCGGTTCCGTCTTGAGTAGATTACATTACTTGAATTTCATGATTTGTTTGACGCGGCTGTGTGCTTGTTGCGCTTTTTATTTATTTTTTAATTTAATTTGTACTGTGACAGGTTTTATGTATTTATTTTTATTTTAAAATTACCATATTGTATTTTATTTGCTGTGTATGACGCCTGATTCTGAAATGCGGAGGTGCTAATGGTTGCGTAGGCGAAAGAGGTGATTCTGAGCAAGAGCCCGGAGCTGATCGACAACTTCTGGGCGGAGATGGTGGCGACACGGCACACGCGCAAACTGAAGGCGGTGGCCTTTTGTCTGGACTGGATCCGCGACGCCTGGTGAGGACTACTCGGCATTTTTCCCCGAAAAATGCTGCAGAAATCCCTAGAAATTCTGCCCGATTAATAATAAAATTATCTGGATTTTTTCTGGTTAGTAAAAAGGAGCCGCTGCTGATAAAGGAGCGCAACATCTTCTCCAAGGAATTGTTGCTGCGTTTAATGGAGGATCCCGCCGTCGTCGTGCAGAAACGCAGTCTCATCTGCGCCACACAGATCTACCGCAACGCCATGCGGGTGAGCACCAATACTGCGCTAGTAATTCAGTTTAATCGCTGTTTTATTTAATATTTTTTCTCCTCAATTTTGACTGCTGTGTTATTTTATTTGGCTTATTTTATATCGGTTAATTTTATTTAATGTCGTTTTATTTGATTTATTTGGCTCTAATTGTACGACGTATCTAAATCAACTGTATCTTTTTTTAATATAGGAAATATTTTTTTCACCGTTTTTGGTATCAGTAGATTTAATTGTATTTGATTTCGTTTCAGTTTATTTAATTTTTAAAAATTAGGAAATTATTTTTTCCAGCAATTTTTGGTATCAGTAGATTTAATTATGTTTGATTTCGTTTGAATTTATTTAATTTTTTAAAACTTATTTTCCTGTTGCGTAATTGTATTTATTTTCATAGCGTTGTATTTGATCGAATTTAATTTAGTTTTACTGTGAATAAACAGAGCCGTTAAAGTTGTTGTGTGTTTTTCTTTTTACAGTGGATCTGTTCGGGTGACGTGACGGAGGGTAATGCGGAGCCGGTGTGGCAGGAGCTGCGCGGCGTGAAGGAGCACCTCGTGCAGGCCATCAGCGGCGCCGAGCACGCCGAGAACCACGTCGGCTACCGCCTGCTCTCCTACAAATTCCTCCAGACCCTCATCGAGTGCCAGAGTCCCCGCGACGCCGCCGTCCCGCCCGTTAGTCCTTCCAGCATTTCACATTAATTTTCAGTTAATTAATTTTTATTACGTTGTTATTTAATTTGATCGTTAATTAATTATGCCTATTAAATTTGCCGTTAAATAAGTTAAAATCTATAATTATTTGTTAATTTATTGCTTAATAATTTCCCGAATTGCCCGCCCGTTAGTCCTTCCAGCATTTCACCTTAATTTTCAGTTAATTAATTTTTATTACGTTGTTATTTAATTTGATCGTTAATTAATTATGCCTATTAAATTTGCCGTTAAACAAATTAAAATCTATAATTATTTGTTAATTTATTGCTAAATAATTTCCCGAATTTGCTCGCCAGTGGGTGTTTAATATTTTTTTATTTCAGTAATCAGTTAATTGAAAAACTGATAAATTTGTATCATGTTGTTAATTAATTTTCAGGTTATTTGATTTTATGGTTATTAAATTTGCCGTTAAATAATGTTAAATTAAATCGATAACTGAAAAATAAATGCGTGTGTTATTTTTTGGTGGTAATTTGTAGGATCCCGAGGACAACGTGAGCTCGCTGGACATTCCCGACAAGTGGTCCGGCAGTAAGCTAAGCCGGCGCAGCGTGGAGGCCGAGGCCAGCGCGATGCTGGACGTCCTCGAGGGCTTCGTCACGCGCCAAACCCTCACGACCGAATAGTACGGAAATTCACTTGAATTGTACAAAAATAAATTACTCAAATGATAAAATAAAATCAATAAATAAGTAAAATAAATAAAAATAATTTTCGAAAAGAAATATAACATATGCAACATAATTCTGTAAGGAACAGCGTTGATGTTCAATTTGAACAATTAAATAAATAAAATGAAGGAAATAATTTTCGAAATAATCAGAATAAATGGTACATAATTGTAGAATGAACAGATTAAATTAAAAATAATTTGTAAGAAATCAAATAATTAATCAACGGCTGTTGTTGATTGCAGCGTGGACTGTATTAGCGTGTGCGGCTGCCTGCTGGGGCTGGCGCGCCGCCGGCCGCAGTACCTGCCGCGCGTCATGACGGCCGTGGAGTTCCTGCTGACCAACATCCCCGCCGGCTACACCAAGCTGCACGTCGAGGGCCTGCGCAAGTACCTCAAGACCGGATTGATCTGCGTGCTGCGCCGCTGTCCCGACCCGGAGATGCTGGACCGCACCGTGCAGCTCCTCACGCGCCACTTCGGCACCAGCCACAACGAGGTACACGCCTGGGAATTAAATGCACTAATTAATTTAAACAGATATATTTTCATTTTTTTTTTGTATATATATTTTGTGAATTAAATCATGGATTTCTTGTTGGATTTACAGGCACGTATTTTATATTTTTTTAATGCATTTTGTAAAATATGATGTCTCTTAAATGGGATTATTAATAAATTTGGCAAATGAAGAATTTATTTTTTATTCCATAGCAGTGTACGATTCCAATGTGTGGTAATTTTACTCTCCGGTTAACAATACCCGCACAAAAAATAACTTAATTAAACGGTAGTAATTTATCTGAATTTTGTCAGTTTCATCGTGTCTGTAGATTTATCGCAACCGCGCGAATATCACGGAGATGCTGCGGAAGAAGAAGCGCGAACCGGAGCCGGAAGTCGTGGTGAAGCGTCCGAAACTGGTGAGCTGGCTGTTTGTTGCCTGGATGCGTCCGCAAGTGAAACAAATGAATAAATAAAATAAATATCCCAGATCTGGAAAATACGACCATAAAAAAATACCTATTAATAGAATAAGTGTATCAAACGGGTTCTTAAATAAAAACAGCTCAAGAAAAAAAGAGGAAAAGTACGGTAAATAAGATTATAAGAATAAATATGGAAAAAGTGAGTAAATAAGAAAATAAATCGAAATAATTGTCAGACATGCGCCCATACATAAAGAAAAGTGATTTTAAAAAAATCCAACGAATTCGTTCATAAATAAACAGAAGTAAATATCTGAAAAAAATATATGCCGATAAAATAAATAATAAATGCGTTTGTTGCCCGGTTGCAGGAGGATCACTATCAGGACGACGAAGACGAAGGGGAGCCGGAAGTGGCCCCGCGGCAGGCGCCGGAACCCCTGGTCGACTACCAGTCACTGGCCACCGAAATCAACACCAACACCATCGTCCCGCGACTGACGCCCGATGTCGTCGTCCGCCTTATCATCGCCAACATGGTAAGCGTGTCCAGAGGGGCGAACGAGGATCCCTGATTATTTATATTATATAAACAATTTTCGTAATTAGATTTCTTTTGCCTAGCTATTGTGGGTTTTATTGATGTACATATATTTTTCTAAGGTTGTAATAAGATTATAATAATACTATTTAATTTTATTTATTGTTAATAAATTATCAGACTGTTTGTATTAGGCTGGAAAGAAGGATTATATTTTTGTTTAATCAGAAAAGTTTAGTAAATTGTTTTGGGTCCCAGTGCACCGTGAAAAAAAAATTCAGTTTGGTTGTGTTTGTTGCAGCGCCGCCTGCCGACGAGCATCCCCACGCAGTTCCACGCCACGTACACGCCCATCGGCAGCGGCCCGGCCTCGGGCATCCTGGAGCACCTGGCCCGGCTGATGGCGCTGCAGATGGTGGCCGCCGACGTCGGGCCCGGCTCCGAAGAGGTCGCCAAACGCAAAAAGGTCATTGGTTGTTTTTTAATGTCAGTAACTTCATTAACCGATGCATATTCGAATTAACCTCGAATGTGATTGCATTTATTTTAGAATTTAAACGCATTTAATTTAGAATTAAATCGCGTTTGATTTAGAATTTAATTGCAGCTAATGTGGAATTTATTGGTGTAAATTTCGGATTTAACTGTAATTTATTTAGAATTAAAGGGGGTTTTAATTACGAATTTAATTGTAATTAATTTAGAATTTGATTGCCATTAATGTGGAAATTATTTTTGTGTTAATTTCGAATTGAACTGTCATTAATTTCGAATTTATTTGCAGTTAATATAGAATTAACCGGGGTTAATTTTGAATTAATTTAGAATTTAATTGCAGTTAATGTGGAATTTATTTGTGGTGATTTCGAATTGAATTATACTTAATTTTGAATGTATTCTGAATTAATTGGCAAAATTATTTGGGATAAAAACCCTGGTGTGTGATTACAGGAGGAGAGTCTGCGTAAGAACGAGGAAGAGGACGCCAAGTCGGCGGCCACCGCCCAGCCCATCTCCAGCGTCCTGCGGGCGCCCCCCTCCGAGGAGGCGGCCGCGCTGGACCTGGAGAACGGCGACGCGGACAGCGGCGACGAGGCGGCCGAGGGCGACACCGCCGGCAGCGTCCCGGAGGCGGTGGCCAGCGGCCCGGTGCCCGAGGAGTTCAAGGCCACCGAGAAGGCCTTCAAGCTGGAGGAGATGACGGAGGCCATCCCGCCGGACGACCGCAGCAACGCCATTCTCTCCATCGTCAACGAACTGATCGGATCGGAGCCGAATGTCCTCAACGCTTCCGCCGAGTCGCTCTTCCACAAGTGTTTAGTGCATTTTGCCGTACGGGTCGGCTTGGAGGCCTTACGCGAGCGTAAGGAATTAAACTGAATTTTACTGCAGTTAAATTCAGCAGTAAATCGAATGTTGAGTTTTAAATGAATTAGATTAAGCAGCATTGATTTTAGCAATAATTACAGACCAATTTTTATTTTTACTTTAATGCAGTAGATTTTACTAGGCTAAATTAAGTAGAGGAGGATTTTAACAATGATTAATTAGCAATAAATGGGATTAAATTTGTAAAACTAATTGATAGCAAATTGGAGTACCGTTTTGCATAAATTAAATTAAGCCGATTTATTTATTAGCACAATTAATTGTAATAAAATGGATTTAACGGAAAGCAGAAGTGCATTTTCAGTAGATTGTAATTTAATAGATTTTACTAGGCCAAAGACAAATTAAGTCTACTTAAGTTTTAATTAACAAGAAATCAGGAATAAATGGAATTAAACTTTGAATAAATTGAAATCGCTGGGAACTGAACTGGAGTACAAATTGTAAAAAAATAGAAATTAATTTGATTTGTGGAAATGAAAGCGGAATTATAATTGAGCGGTTGCAGGCATCGCCAAGTTTATCATGGAGGATCTGGGCAGCCGGGCGGAGTTGGCCTTTCGCTGGATCTTCGAGGAGTACGCGTATGCCCGGCACATTCAGCGGACGGGGCAGCCGCCGCCGGGGGCGGGGGAGAATGAGGAGGACCTGAGTGAGGAGCAGTTGGCCAGCTACGACGACTGTCTGACGCGCTTCATCAAGGGCTTCATCGATCATCCCGAGTACCGCGAAGGGTGCGTCAATGTGCTCGTGATCCAGTATAAAATAATGAATTTTTGAAAAAGAAAGTATTGCGGTAAAAAAAGAATAAATTAATTAAAATTGAATAGAAATAATAAATTAAAAATGAACAATTTGCACAACAATAAATTACAAACTAATAATAACTTATTTAAAAAATATTGAAATTTTCCGCATGTGTCAGCGCTGCATGCGCACACTATAGAATGGTAGCGCGAACGTAGTGCAGTGGCTGCCAAAGTTGTATTTCGGTACGGACGTTGTGGGTCTAAGCCAAAAGAAAAATTAAACTGAAGTAGAAATAAAAAATCCAATCCTACTATTTAGAGTGTTTTTACATGAATGAGTTTTTACATAATGTGGGTTTGACTCAATTAACGAACTAAGTGGAATTCGGACTTAATCTGTAATAATTTCCGTTGTATTTATTATTACCATTGTATTTTTTATTCACATTGGATTTATTAATTATTATTACAAAACTTACGTCAACCAGCTCAGTTTGTTGATTAAGATTGTAATATTCGGACAATATTATCAATCATTCTTTAAATATAAGTAGCAAGGAGAATTCTGATAAAAAATACAGAGTACATTAGAAAAAAATCCCAGTGTAAATTTAGGCGTAGCTAGGTGAATAATTTGGGTAAAATGGAAATAAATTAAAATAAGAATTCGTATTGCATTTGTAATATTTTTGGAATATTTTCTTGTGTATAGGCTGGTGTCGCAGTTGTACATGGAGGTGCCGTGGGTGACGGAGGGCGCGGTGGAGCTGCTGAGCTACTACTGCACACTGCGCAGCGTGCACGGCGCCATGCGCCTCATCCACAAACTGGTCAGCACGCGGCCGCGCCCCGCGCGCTACATTCTGCCGGCGCTGGACCTGACGCTGCACCAGCGCAAGGACATCCAGGCGCAGGCCGTCCAGACCTGCGTCAAATTGTACTCCAGCATGCCCTCCCTGCGCCCCCAAGTCCAGGTATGTTCACGCCTTTTTTATCTGCTCAATAATGATTATGTTTTCGGCTAATTATGGGCCAGTTTTATTTACAATTTAATTCAATCTTTTTTAATATTTAAAAAAATATTTAACTGATTATAGGACATTATTATTCATTTATTAAAAAAATACTTTTTAATAATCAGTTTATTTGAATTAGCATTTAGGTGAATTAACAGTTTTATTGAATTGGAATTAAATTTGAATTAACAAATTTAAGTGAATTTTTCTGATGCAGATATTTTCTTATTACCATTTTCTTATAAATTTGTCGGCTAATTGGCCATTTTTTGTTTACAGTTTAATTTAGAATTTTTAAGGCTTGATAAATAAATATTTAAAAAATATTTGGCTGATTATAGGGCGTTGTCATTCGTTTAAAACAGTACCTTTTTAATAGTCAGTACATTTGTAACAATTTGTAATAACTGTTATTTGAAATTTTTCTGTTGGAAACATTTTCCTGTAATTTGTTTGAATAATAAGGTAAATATGTCAGGAAATTAATGAATTTGCGTATTTTATTTTGATAATTATTTTTTTAATATTTGGTAATTATTTTTGTTTGTGCGGCAGACGTTCGCCATCGACTGCATGAACATGCTGGGCGCCGGGGATCCGGCGGCGCTGCAGCAGGACAAGTACGGCCGGGCGCCGGAGAAGAAGCCGGAGTGGAACGAGGATCTGCAGCGGATTTGTTCGTCCCTGTTCGCCGGGATTCTAGCCGAGGACGCCTCGCTGCTGCCGGTGCTGGGCGAGATGTACGTCCAGCACGCCAACGACGTCAAGAAGACCATCTTCAAGATCGTCGACCTCCCGGTACGCATTACACTATTATTCCATCGTAACCAGAATACTTATCGGTGCAGTTTTAAATGCATTTATTAATTTCAATTCAATGGGAATTTACAGTATTAACATTAGAACATATTTATATTTATCTGTATTGATGTTTTTTTATTTGTGTTTCAAGTACATGCAGTTTTCTAGTTATTTATTGGAATTTATTGGATTTTTCGTAAGGTATGAATTATAGTTGATACTACGCATACTATGAATTATAGTTGCTGCATAATATTTATTTTCTCAGTCAAAACACACTCACGTTGAATAAACTTGCCCGTTCGTACCTGCGAATTGTAGCGCTAACGTAGTGTAATGGCTGCTATACGGCGCGGTGCTCAAAGTTGAAATCAACAGCTCTATGCGTAAAATTTCTTTCGACCAGTTAATTTAGACAAACTTTTTTTGTGTATACTGTATTCCCGAAAAAAATTATAATTCTGCAAGAATTTAACCAATTCATTACTTAACACATTTAAGCGGGAATTTTTGAAATAAATCCCCTATATGGGAAAAAATAAGGAAAAAAATATATAATAATAAGGAAAAAAATAATAAGGTAATAATAAGGAAAAAAATAAACGAATAAGAAAAGGTAATAATAAGGAAAAAAATATTGATAAATAAATAGGATTATCCGTAGTCAATGCAGTAATAGAAATGGAGGCACACGGCTGATGTTGATTATTGTTGGCGTTATCACTCTGCAGGTGCGGACGATCGGGATGAACGCGCCGGAAATGCTGGCCTTCGTGCGCAATCCCCCCAAGGGCAGCGAGGCGCTGGTGCTGCGCGTCATCCACCTCCTCACCGAGACCAGTACGTCGTGCTTCCGCTAATTTATTTTTAACTTTTTTAATATTAATCATTATTCGTAGTTATTGGTCGTGATTATATCCTTCCTCTTTTATTAATATTATACGAGTATTATTCATTATTATTTCAGTATACTATCGTTTTTTTTTACTATTTTTATCATCATTCTTTACTTGCTATCAGCATTATCGTTTGCTGTTTTTACTATTATTGGCTGGAATTATTCTCATTGGTTACATAATAGAAATTTGTGAATTTTATTTGGTTAGAATGTATTATTATTTCTTGGAATTATTTGCATTTATCGGTCATATTCATTTACTGTTGTTAATAAATTATTATTCGGCATTAATTGAATTTAGCGTTGTTTATTCAGTATTTTTAATGGCGAATATTATGAATAATATCCCGGTGGCAGTGAATAATGATACTGGTATTATTTAGACCCGCCGACGGCGGAGCTGATCAGCAGCATCCGCGGCCTGTACGCCGAGCGCATCCCCGACGTGCGCTTCCTCATCCCCATCTTGAACGGCCTGCCGAAGGAGGACATTGTGGCCGCGCTGCCCAAACTGGTCAAACTCAACCCGGTCGTCGTGCAGGAGGTCTTCCACCGCTTACTCGGCACCGGCAAACACAAACTCGGTGCGTCCCACTATCCTCTCAAATTAATTCCTGATTTAGTTTTCACATACCTCTTTTTAGCATTTTTTCTTTATTTTTAATTGGAAAGTTTTTCAGCTTGTTTGTTATAATTACTGTAATAATTAATCACATAATAAGTAGTATTTTTTTCGTTTATTTTTTTTTGTGGCAGATTCCACGCAGCGCCGGCCGTCGTTGTCGCCGGCGGAAGTGCTCATTGAACTGCACAAAATCGACATGACGAAGGTGGACGCCAAGAGTCTCATCAAAGGTGACAAATTATATTTTATAATAATTCTGAAAAAAATTTAAAAATTAATGAAATGGAACTGTCCAGAAATGTTAGAAAAAACATTAACTCCTCTAAAATTACACTGGAAAAGGTGAAATTTGACAGGTGATATGTTGCGATTTTTCCCGAATACAAGGATGTTAAAAAGTATATATTTTGAAATTAATTTCTCATACGGAATTAACGCACAGCTGTTCGTGGTGCAGTTATTGGCGCCACACACTCACATCTAGCAGCCATCGCACTACGTTAACGCTATATTATTTCCAAATTAAATATCTTTTTATACGAATAAAAATTTACCAGCAAAATAAATCAGCACAATATTGCCAGAAATGGAGTGATTGAAAAGTGAATTTGTACAGTAGATAATGTTGAGTTGTGTGATTAGCGACGGGACTGTGTCTGGAGGAGAAGGAGCTGTACCCGGCCGACACGATGATGGAGGTGCTGAAGAATCTGATCGACGCGGAGCCGTTGCCGTTTCTGCTGCTGCGCACCGTGCTGCAGACCGTGCAGCTGCACGGCCACCGCACCACCTACTTCATCATGAACATCCTCAACAAACTCATCGACCGCGAGGCAAGCCATTACAGTATTTGCTGCACATTTCATGGACATTTATTTGCCGATTTTTCTTTACAATATTGCTTGCCAAGTTTTCATTGCCAGATCATCCCGCATTTTTTTCCCGAATTTTAATTAGTTTTTTTACGGTATAACCTTTTTTTATTTTTCACTTTTTTTCGCTTTGGAATTTCCACGGGAATTATTTTGTTTTTGGCGGGATTATTTTGTCCTGTTCATTGTACAAATTATTATTCATTTATTAAATGAATATAGAAGCACGTGAATTCATAACTAAACAAATTGTTATATTAGAGTAAGTATTGACAAAATAAATCTTATTAGTGGCAGGAGTTTGAATTAAAGTTTGAATAAATTTGATCGAATAAATAACTGAGCTACATCTTAAAGCATTAAAAATATTACAATTAATACGTCAAAATTCTTAAAAAAATTAGTAATTCTCCTAGAAATTCCTAAAAAAATTTATTCTTATTCCTAAAAACCCAGAAAATTAATTATGTTAATTTAGAAAGTTTGTGCAGGTGTGGACGTATCCGCTGCTGTGGGAGGGCTTCGTCAAGTGCTGCGAGAAGACCCTGCCGCCCTCCATCCCGGTCCTCCTCCGTCTCCCTTCGGAGCGCCTCAAGGCGGCCCTGGACAGCAGCCCCGCCCTCCGCGGCCCCCTGCAGAAGCACCTGCTGGACCTGCACGCCGAGCAGCGCGCCCACCTCCCGCCGGACACCCTCCAGCTCCTCGACCTCGACCGGCTCCTCAATCAGCACCGCGAACCCCGGGAACCCGAGGAACCGGTCCCGCGGACCAACGACGCCCCGCCCAAGTCGCCCCCGGCCGCGGCGAGGGCCGTCAGCCCCCCGGGGCGCCGCAAGGAGGGGCGCCGCAGTCCCTCGCGCTCCCGGGAACCCTCCAGCCGCCCGCGGGAGCGTTCGCGCGGCGCCGAGAAGGAGAAGGAGGGCGGGAAGGCCCGCGAACGCGGCGAGCGGTCGCGCGGGTCCGGGGAGACGTCGCGGGCGCGCCGGGAGAAGGGGGAGCGGGAGGAGGGGGCGGAGCGCCGCCGGAGGGGCGGACGAGACCGCAGTCGCGAGAGAAAGGACGGCAGTGGCTCCCGCCGGCGACGCGAGGAGCGCCGCAAGTCGGCGCGCGACAATGACGAGGTAGGACGCCAGAAAATCAAACTGTAGTATGACAAATGATTTTTTTTAGAATTTATTAAGCTGATGATGAATTAATTTAAATGATTTTTTCAGAATTTATTAATTAATTCATTTTTCTACTTTTTTACAGAATTTATTCCAGCCTGCCTTTTTTTAGAATTTATTTTTACTGTAGAATTTATTGCAGAATTTTCAGAATTCAAACATTTGAATTTTTGAAGAATTTAAATTGAATTTAAATTGAATTGAATTTAAATTTTATTTTTTCGGAATGCATTAGCGACATTTTTTCATAGCAGAATTATTTAATGATATTATTACGAATAAATCTGGTTATATGTAGTTCTGAAAACATAATGGTAATTAATATTATCCAGAAATTCAGTTCTTATTTTTTCCACCTTTTAAAAAAACATTTATAAATAAATGCATTTAAAAAACAGATTCCTGATTACAATAATGACTATAATTTATCGGAAAACACAATAACAAAAACAGTTCACAAAAATGGTTTAGCAAATGCAAATAAGTAAATCAATAAAAAAATAATAGATTTTTAAGAAAACTATGCAGAATAAGAAGAAAAAAAAATAAAATGCGGAAAAAGTTTAACAAAATGGAAGAATAAATGCAATAAATAAATCAGTAAAAAAATGACTGGAAATAAATCAATAAATATTAGTTCTTCGACGAAATAAATATGTATTTTTGTAAAAATAGAAGCCGAGCGCGCCGCTGGATAACGGCGTGCTGGCGGTGGACGCCGAGAGCCCGCCGGCGGCCGACACGGGCCGCCCGGAGCCGGCGGACCCCGGGAACCCGGAAGTTGCGATGGATGTGGGCGTGGTCAGTGAGAAACCGGAAGAAACGATGGAAGTGGGCGTGGCCCACGACCAACCGGAATTGGGCGTGGTCCAGGACGTGGCGAAGGACGTCCCGGACGTGGCGACCCCGGCGGAGGGTGTCCAAGACCCGCCGGAGCCGGACGCCGGGATGGCGAGCCCGGAGGTGGTCGCGGCGGACGCGATTCCGCGTCCGGACAGTCCGCAGTTGTGATGGGGCTTCCGCAGCACGTGACACGTGTGTTTGTCTCTTTTGCGATGTTTTTTTGATGGTTTTTCGTTGACGTTTTTGTCCGGGTGAAAAACGGGAAAAGATTAATTAATGGGTGTATTTTTTTTCACCGGAAATTATTGGAAAAAATTTTGGGAACGAATATTGAAGGAAATAAAAATGGCAATTAAAAAATTGGATCAATTCAGACGGGAAGATAATATTATTTCGTTCGCATTTATTGTGCCTATAATAATATTAATTTTTGTATTTATTTGAATAATCCGTATTTATTGCTGTAATTCAGATGTATGGATAATTTAGGTGTTTCTTTTAATAATTAATTTTCATTGGATAGCTTATGCAATATGCAATTTTAGTGTATTCTGTTTTGTATGATTCAGATTCACGATAATTCGTAATATGGATTGAAATTGATATTATTTTGTTGCCGTTCTATACGATTCATACTGTACTCGTGCTCTTATACACCTGAATAAAGGTCACCACGAAATAAATATCTTCTGCAATCATTCAAGGTAATTTAAGTCAGTATATTGTCAAACTAAGTAGTGCGGCATAACTCGAAAAAAGAGCAATCCTTTCCGGATTTCTTCGACAGCAACAGATCCATAATGTCAGGATACGCCGGCGGGCATGCGCGCAGGAAGATTGGCCGATATTACCGGATTAAGGGCCACGGTGACCTATCAACATCCAGCATGTCATGACAATGTATTTAATCAATTTAATTAAAGGTCAGGATTGTCATTCCGCTCTTAACTCAAGAACTATTCAATAAATAACCCACATTATATATAAGAAATTAATTACACATATCAAATATATATTATTTAAATAACATAATATTATTTTTTTTACATTTAAGTTATTATCAAAAAATAAAATAATTATATATATAATATACGTAGACATACTGTGTATAGATATTTACATACATATTTTATGTACAAGTAAGTATCTGTACATATACAGTACACATATATAAAATATATATTAAAATATTTTATACTATATATAAGATTTCATATAAACTATTATCAAAAATAAAATAAATATCTACTATAATAATATATGTAGACTGACTGAACGTAGATATTTTATATATGTACCTGTACATATACAGTACAGATATATAAAATATATTATAATATTAAGTTTTTATAATTAATATATTTAAGATTTTACATATATTGTTTACTACGAGTATATAAAATTGCTGAATGGAAAAGCACTATTGGCTGTACATGTATGTTCATATATGCCGCATAGGTTCAATATTAACCGCAGAAAAGCCACTCTATTAAGAAAGGTCACCGACACTCGCATTTTTTCTCCACGTCATGCAATCCCGATGTACACATGCAGGCGGTATTAATTTTCATCGGGCAATGAATAATCTCCATTACGCTTATATAAAGCACACCGCCTACTGCTGAATATTTAAGGTCGATAAATCGATTCCAGCACGAACACACCTGTTAAATGTTCAGTGCCGAAACAAGTGCGTATATCATTAGACGTCCACCCGATCGCGCAATGGAAATTGAGAAGCGGAGTGTGGCAGGTGAATTGAGCGTGTAAAACTAGGAAGGGGATCCCGCATTCCCGAGGATCGGCAGGAGCGTTTATTGAGCGATGATTGTACAGCGGTTAAAAGTGTCGTGTCAATGAGCGCGTATATGCCGTATATAACATTGCACGCACGCGTTATGACTTTAATTTCATCCATCGCGAGAGCCGGTTAAAACACGCCATTTACGCAGTTTCATGTAGCGCGTTTGCCGTTGAAACTGGGTTCGCCAATGAGAACCGCGCCAGATGATTTTTTTATCGCGAACCGGCCGACGGCCGCTAGCATTTCTTAAATAATTCCGTAAATTAATCGACCAGCGGATTTAAGTATCAGTGGATAATTATCCAGTGTTTTCTACGTGATCAGCTGATTTATCGCGATGGGAGGCGGAGCACGATGGGTGCGCGGCCGTTAGCGTAATTGACAGGTAGGAAGCGGTCCCACTTGAGGGGCACTTAATTCCCCCCGATCCCGCTCGGATCCTGCGGCTAATTGGCACGGGATGCCGCGGTAATTACCCGCAAGAAATGCTGTCACCAAAATGAAATTTTCATAGCCAAAATACATTAGCCGTCATTTTGGCTATTGCCTAACTGCAGATTCCTGATATATATAATATTAAATATGAGTTATTGTCGTCATAATCCGTAGTGTTTTAATAAAATGCGTATACAAAGAACCTTGATAATTTTATTATAATTGTTTAATAATTTAAATACTTGCTTATTAATAATAAATAATAATAAATAAATTTCGGCAAAATATTAATTGTTATTAATATTATTACTGATTGTATAAGCGCGACGCAATTTCGCCAAATAATGCGTTTAAATAAGTCAAATTATCTGCGCAGATTACAGTAATTTAATTATAAATTTATAAGTATTGGTGATTACGCAATAATCTGCACGAATGTTGTGTATTAAGCAACACATTTTATCCGGCCTTCACGTAATAAAAATTCCACCCTGCATTAATGTGGATGAAAAGCGGGCATTGTGGCGTGTGTTTATGCCGGGAAGAAAACGCGGATAATCATTCCTCCCGTCCCACCATTCATCCCCGTTTTCTCCCGCATACAATGCGCCACGCCACCGGCAACACCGGGTGTTTATGCAGCGCTGCACACCGGTGCACTCAATCCTCTGTAATTCTCCCGGCAATCGATTCTGCACAGCCAGTGCGCCGGGATAATTATTCCAAGCTGCTCTCCAGTTTGACCGGCTTAGGCGTTTTTTCCCGTTCGCCTTGAGTGAGACATTTGAGCCTTGAACAGAACAAATCGGAGAGGGAAGAAAAAAACGCCGGGTGTAATTCCAACATGCCGGTTGGCAGACAATCATCCTGTCGGGACTTCCGGCCGCCCGGGAACACACGTTTAGCGCTACAACGTTCGATTAACGCCACTTTTTTCCATATGCATTTGCAATTTATTTTATATTTTTATTTAGTCATTGCATTTATATTAATTTCTTAATTAATTCAAAACTAATTAAAAGTAAAATTTGTTTTATTTTTTATTATAGGTAGCGCAAAGAAAGTCATTTCTGGGACGAAAATCAAAAAGGAAGAGTCAAGGAATTTTCAAAAATGTCAAGATAAAATTCGCAGTACGCTGCCGCACCGAGCGGTTGCAACAGCGTCATGCGCCGGAAGTCCCTGAATCTTCTTCATTTGAAATGTTCAGCATAGGGATTTTCCTGAAACATAAATTATGTTAGACAAAAAAGTGATTTCCACTGGAATACAGGTTACTTTGAAGGGAGTCGTTTGTGTGCGTTAGGAGCTTTGCGTCTTGATGCGACTTTTAACAGCGACATAAGAAAACATAAAAAAGCCGGCGCAAGATCAGAAACGCCGGTTGCAGTTTGCTTGCTGCGGGAACATGCCGGTGTCGAGCACTCACTTCCCGCCGGGACTTCCGCTCACCGGGAACAGCCTGTTCAGCCGGCAACTGCCGGACTAGCTTTCCCGGCAAATGTCTCGCTCACGCGTTGTTTCCCGCAGCCACGGGAAAAATCGGGGAAAATGCAATTATTTTTTTACATAACGCTGCATAGAACATATTGACCGCTGCGTGTGAAATTGAGCCGCAGCAGGAAGTGGGGAGTGTGCGTTTAGTTAGCTAACCTGGAGGCGCATCACGCGTCTGTATGTGCCTGTTCGAAAAACGGCCGTTCTCTAATCGGGCGCGAAAGGGATCCATCAGTCGCGCTCCAGCGCGCCAGTACACCGCGGGCCAATCGCAGCACCGCGTATATAAAGCGAAAAGAGAAAGGTCAAGTGCTAATGCGGCGCGTGTTATTCCGCTAGGCTGGCGCTGAGTATGCCCGCTTGCGCGACCAGTGTCTCCACACTTTCAGTATGCCCGCCGTCGCCGCGCGCTCCCGCCATCCGCCGCCGATGAACGCCAACGCGAAAATTGGGCCGCTGCGGCCACCGCCACCGCCCCCGGTGTCCGCCGCCAAGACGCTCATCTGTCCGTTCCATGCGCGCTACAAAGCGCGTCACGCGGCCACCGCCAACGGGAATTCCAGGTAAGCACCGTGACCTTTTTAAATCCATTTCTTAAAAAGCTAATAAGCCTTAATTTTATTGTGGAATGCCCTTTCCGGTGGTGTTTTCGTAATCTTTAAGCGTGTTTAATCAGCGCGGAGTGGGAACAAGGAACAACAGTGACTAATTATGCAGGAAGCCGTAGCTGTTGTTCAACCGTTGCTGGTATTGACGCAGGCTGATCAATTATTCCGTGTGAGATCCGGCTTTCGCGCGCGCTGGGTTTGTTATTGCAGCTGATGTGCGGTTGTGTTAATGCGGAATATAGAAGCGAATTAAGCAAATGTGAGCTGTGCGTGATAATTGTTGAGCGGGGATGTTATTTGAGCTAATTGCGGCCGCGGCATATGGTGGCTTCCATTTAGCGAAATTGCCGGTGAATCACCGGCAGCTGGTACGCTCTCTTTCGCGTACAGGCACGTACGAGTGCGGGTATTGTCAGTTAAAGTGGTGTACGAGTGTGATGGATCCGGCGGGGAGTGTACACACAGCTGGTGGCAGCCCGGATCCATTACACTCGTACGTGGTGGAAAGCCTAAACAGCCGCTTGCGCAACCCGATCAATCTCACTCGTACGTTATCGCCGCGTGCCAGACAGATCCATTTCCCTTGTACGTGTGCAGCTGCTGCAGCGCGGAAAGCCTGTTGCGCAACCAGATTTAGATTTTCATCATGTGTGTACGCGTTTATATGCGCTTTACACTTGTACATGTGCAGCAGATATACTGCACTTGTACGTGGTTAACGTACACCCGCTTGCGCAACCGGATCTCTCTCACATGTACACTGCCTTCAGCCTGTACTGCATGCTGATTGGGTTAGAAGAGGGCGTACATGCCACACTGCAGTATGATCGATCGCACGTAAATTGCTTGATTGTATGCTCTTGCAGCGCGAACAACACGGCGGTACGGCCGCCCTTCCTCCGTCACATGGTGAAGTCGTTCTCCATCGATCAGCCGGACTACGAGCTAACCGCCAACAGTCCAACGCAGGAGCATTACCGGCGCCAGCATATCGGCTTCTATCAGCGACAGCAGCTGCGCCAGCATGAGCAGCGCCTGCGCAAGAACGCCCTCCTCACCAGCACAGCCCACCCGCCTCCGCACGCGGGCCACAGCAGTGCAACAGCCGCTCTCTCCGCCGCCGCCGTAGCAACAGCAGCTGCCGCAGTCGATGATGCATCATCCCAGCAGTCGCACGAGGCAGCCGCGGATGTTGCTGCCATAAGTATGCCCGTATCCGCCGCTGTTGATCCCGATCCGGCGCTGCTGGCCCTGCACTCGCTTACTGTCCATCCGGATTCCGCGGTGCTGTCCGCCAAAGTGGCGGCGTTACGACGGGACGCCTCCTTGGGCGGTGGCAGCCCCGGCATGACCACGCGCCACTCGCTAACCACGCCGCTCTCGCTGGCGTCCAATCCGCGCTCTTTTCCCTATTTACCGGCGGCCGCCGCGGACCAGCGGATCCCCTCCCCGACCAGCACGGTCACGGCGGCGCACCAGTATCCCACTGTGTCCAAAATGTTCGCCAAAGGAGGCCCGAATGCCGCCGTGGATTCCGCCGCGTACGAGTAAGTCCAAATTTCAACAAAGATATTATTCATTAATTTTCTGTATTTTTTTATATGTCTAGGTTTATACATAAGCGCTAGTTAATTTTTTCCATAAAAACGTGGCGTTTAAACCCTGGCTTTTACTAACGGTGTACGCGGTATTATTAGCTTGAGCGTCGGTGAATAGAGGCTATCATGGAATTTTGTATGGGCGATCGATTTATGTGTTCACGCCACATGTCGAACGTTTATTGACAGACCGATCATGTTCGGTTGGCGTTGGTTATTTTACAACTGCCGCTTAGTTGATCCTGCGCTTCTCCCTTGGCATTTTGATACCGCATAAGCATGGCCAGCGTGTGTGCAACTTGAACATATATAATTTCCAAGGTTAGCGTGTGCGTTTTTCCCCATTTAATTTACACTTAGATTTATCGCGTAATTGTTAGCCATTTGAGCGGCTGTATAGACCGGGAATCGGCGGCGCTCGTTACGGCGCTGAAAAGGCCATCGCAATGCATATCCCTTTTGCAGTCGTGGCGCCGGCCGCGAACAAAGCCGGCGCTGATTGTCTTTGCCGGCGGGCAGACACGGCTAACACAGTGCAGCGGTGTGGCGCGCGCTTCCCGCTGCTCCGGCTAAATGCGCCCGCAGCGGCCGGATGTCATGCTCCGGTTTTCTGTGGAATCTATCCGCGCACGGCTGCCGGTAGAGGGCAGGCGTGCCTGGATAATGGAGCGGGCGCCGTGTACACTAGGTGATGGCGGTTAAGAGAGATTAATCTCTTAGGCGGATCAGGCCTCTTACCACCGGCAGCTGACAATCAGGGACGATGCGCTGCATTCCCTAGCCCCGGTGTCTAAGCATTCGCTGTACCGCGAGAGACTACGTTCCGCGACGGCATATATACAAGCCGGTCCGGATGATGAGCACGATAAAATACAGCGAAAAATGTAAATTAATGAGTTACGTGTAGTATAGTGGCCATCGTGCTAGTGTTAACCGCGCGCACAATATGCATTAGCTGTACCTTTACGGGCTCATCATACGGACCGGCTTGTATCTCCGGCCTCTAATCATTCGCTTTACCGGCAGAGACTACCTTCTCCCAGATATCCGTCCGTAGTTAGTTTCCGGCGCCTGCGCGACATTTGCGTCGGTCGTCCTATAACATCCACCGGCACATATATATTCTGATTTAATTAAAATATATATATAGAACCACGGGCCGCATCGGTTTCCCATCCTGTCAGCGCTCTTAATTGACCCCGTCCGCCGTAATCCAATTAGACACCGGCATTGCGTGACCTAATGATGATGAGTCCGGCGTGGCATGACAAGTCGTCCCGCTCTCTCGCTCAATCCGATCACGATAGGCGACACCTGTAATTAGAACTCGCCCGGATGTACAGTAAGGTACGGGGGAATCTCCGACCGGCATTGAGGGGAAAATTCGAATTGAAAGAGAGACTGTAGTGGTGATAGCTGTGGGCCATGAGGCACTTTATTCGGAGTGCATAAATCCCGCGCCGGCCCGGTCCATCGGGACAAGTGCGCCTGGCAGCGGGGATTGGCCCGCCGCTCACTCTCCATTATCGCCCGCTTCCTGTCGCGTCCAATCTGTGTCGCCTTTTTAGTGGCACAAGGAATGCGTTGTGCCGCGGCAATAAATTAAAAAAACCCACTAAAATATGCGCATCTCACTCAGTAATGAATTTACGCAGCTCACATTATTCGTATTAAAAATATACTAGTGCAGCTTTCATTAGACTATAGATTTGTATTTCCTCTCTTTTTAATAACCGATCCGTTTCGCTATGTACGAGTATTTTGAACGACCAGTCAACCGCATATTCTAATTTTCTGAAGGTACAAAAATTCCAAAAATAACAGCTTGCACAAATAACTGTAATAATTTTGTAATTTGCTCAATTATTTTGAAAATTTTTGTACCTCCAGGAAATTTGAATACGTGAGCGATCAGTTGTGCAAAATATATACTTTTAGTGTAAGTGATCGGTTATTGCGACAATTTTACGTTGGCTGCATTGCAAATTTAATTTATATTCGGTCTGTGAATAAACCTTATTCAATTTCGGAATAATATTCAAGTGGCAGCGCATACGACCAGCACGATGTCAAATGCCAGCATGAATAAATTGCCTGGGCAAGAATTCATTGAAGAAAGACGGGGAATCGTCCCGGCATTTTAATCCGCGTTATGCGCCGTGGCAATCTGCATATATAGTGCCCGCCGCACAAAGGCCTGATTGAGACGGCGACTGCAGTGCTCTTGTGGGGCAAATGAGAGTGCAATCAGTAATTGAGCCCTTTTCACAGCCATCCCGATTCCCGGTCCCTGCTCCCTATCCCATCCATCCCTGGTTGCTGCACACTGGCAATCGATACCGGCTACATGCTTGTCAAAACAACACGCCACACAATCACGGCCAGTGCGCTGCTGCGCATGCTTAATTAATACTTTCGGCCACGTCTCGTGCGCCGCGCGTCCCTTCTTCCCCTTTTTCCACAATACCCTCACTCGATCGATGCCATCGATCGGCCGCTGCGGTGCAACGGCACCGGAATCACGCCGCGCTGACAAGCGCATCAGGTAGATAATGTTCCCGTTCGGCGATTTTTTCAACTTCCAGGGAAGATTTCGCGGGAAGATGGGGTTCCTGCGCGTTGACTCAGCGGTGACGTGCGGGTGACGCGTGCTGTAATTGAGCAGGAGTAATCACATTTCCAGCCTGATTACACCGCACACGCCAGCTGTGTTGACATTCCGCTGCGTTTTTTTCGTTCCCCCGGAGTTGCGTTGGGTGAGTAATGGAGCCGGCTGTCACTGTCGCAATTTCCGTTTGGACATTGCACCATTTATCAACCGGGGTCGTAACACATGTGGAGGTTATTGCAGCGGTGGGTTTTACGAGGGTTATTGCATGGGTTATTACATGGGTGGGTTATTGCAGCGGTGGGTTGTACGCGGTTTCGTAATTTGACGATAAGCGAGACAATCAAAGCATGGGGTGTTCGTTATTAAAGCGATTTATTTTGGAGTGAAAAGTATGCAGTCATTTACAGTACGTATTCGGTGCAATAAACGAGGCGCTGACCGATACGTACGTACAAACTCGTACAACGGTGCATATTGACCACTATTAAACTACAGCATCAATTACGCGCAGCGATGACGCAACTGTCGTACTGCATGTGCATCATAATTATGCATATCCGGGTTGTACTTGACCACCGTCTGTTAAACTGTTTCAACTTTATAGCGTTAACCGGCTCGTACAACTCTCGTACGTGCGGTGTACTTATGCGTGTGCATGATGTGTTGAACTTGACCATAGTTCAACGGTTTAAACTTTAAACTTTAAAGCGTTGACCGGCTCGTACAACTTTCGTACAATCATGTGTGTAAACTGTGTGTGTATGTGCATATCCGGGTTGATCGGGCAGCAGCTGGTTGCGCAACCAGCTATATGCAGCCAATCAAAAGACAATACCGCGCCGTGTTTGCCTTGGCAGCTGCTGCGTTGACAGTGCAGCAATCAGCTTGAGACAACAAAAAAACCTCCAATATTGCCGCTTATCCAGTCGCATCTGGTCGCGCCGTTTGACATTGTACTAAATGTTTCCAACATTCCTGATGATGAACGGTGTGTGTTTCTCCCACAGAGCGGTGCGCATCTCGGACGTGGGCGACGGCTACGTGTACCTCAACCAGTACAAGCTGAGCAACGAGACCCTGGGCCACGGCACCTACTCCATCGTCAAGCTGGCCTACAACACGGAGGACAACACGCACTACGCCATGAAGATCCTGTCCAAGAAGAAGCTGATGAAGAAGCACCGCCTGACCAGGTACAAGGAAAGCAGCAGTTGCGCAGTGTACTGATAAAAATTAGCTGCACTTCCGCGTTGATTGTGTGGGGACCGCTCGTGTCCCTGGCGAGGCTGACGTCCTCCGCCAAGGCCACTCCAAGGTCGGCACCGGCATAAAAAAATCCCCCGCCCGGGTAAAAGCTCGTTTAATGGAAAAAAGCCGGCCCGATTTCCTTTTCCGCTGTCGAGCGCGGAGAAGCAGCGAAATTAATGGCTGGCAAATCAGGCCGCATGGAAGCGCTCCGTGGGGAGACATTTAGCGGCACTGACAGCGAGCAGACATGATGGGCTTTTAATAGCCTCGCCGCGCACAACCAATGGGGCATGCGCTGCGCGGCGTGTAATGAAGCATTGTTGCCGGGATCGCCGCGGGCGATGATGCCGGCATCCTCCCGTGTTAACGGAGTTTGGGCTGCTGTAGCTGGATAATAATAATAATAATGGTCTGGTTGCGTTGTACAGGAAGGCGGGCGATCCCATGCAGGAAGCGTACCGCGAGATCGCCATCCTCAAGAAACTCAACCATCCCAACATTATCCGCTTGATCGAGGTGCTGGACGACCCCCACGAGGACAGCCTGTACATGGTCTTTGAGCTCCTCGAGCGCGGCGAGGTCCTCGTCGTCCCGACCGGTCAGTTTTGCGCAAGTCCCCGGTGTGACCTTTAGTGACCTTTTGGTTTTTTAGAGAAACCCCTGACGGAAACGGTCGCCTGGAGGTACTTCCGGGACCTGGTGCTGGGCGTGGAGTACCTCCACCACAACGGCATCCTGCATCGTGATCTCAAGCCTTCCAATCTGCTGTTGGACGACAACGACCATCTGAAGATCGCCGACTTCGGTCTGAGCCATATGTTCGAAGGCAGCGATGCCCTGTTGTCGGGGACCGTCGGGACGCCGGCCTTCCACGCACCGGAGATCCTCTCGCTGCAGCCCAGCGGCAGCAATCACCATCCTCCTTCCACCTCGCCTTCCGCGCTCTTCCCGAACAACAAAACCGAAGGCCGGGCGGCCGGTGCCGGCGTCTCCGGGCTGGCCATGGACGTGTGGTCGATGGGGATTACGCTGTACAGCCTGGTCTTCGGGGATGTCCCCTTCCGCGACGAATCCATCGTCGGGCTCCATCATCAAATCAAATCCTTCCCGCCGGTCTTTCCCGCCCATGTTGTCGTTTCGGACGCCCTCCAGGACCTCGTAACCAGGTGCGTTACACATCGAATTCTTAAAAGATACCTAAAAATATTTAGAAATATTTGGAAATGTTTAGAAATACTGTAATTAGAAATATGCAGTTTTCAGAAATATTCAGAAATCTTTAGAAATCTTTAGAAATCTTTAGAAATCTTTAGAAATCTTTAGAAATATTTAGAAATCTTTAGAAATATTTAGAAATATTTAGAAATATTTAGAAATATTTAGAAATATTTAGAAATATTTAGAAATATTTAGAAATATTTAGAAATATTTAGAAATATTTAGAAATATTTAGAAATATTTAGAAATATTTAGAAATATTTAGAAATATTTAGAAATATTTAGAAATATTTAGAAATATTTAGAAATATTTAGAAATATTTAGAAATATTTAGAAATATTCATTACGGTGCTTACTGCAGGCTGCTGGACAAGGACCCTGACCGGCGTCTGACCATCGCCAGGATGCGGGAGCACCCGTGGATCACCCGCGACGGCCAGGAGCCCCTCCTGCCGGCCCCGGCCGACAACTGCCAGGCGCCCATCTCCGTCACCGAGGAGGACATCCAGGCCAGCGTCCGCTCCATTCCGCACCTGGACACGCTGATCCTCATCAAGGCCATGCTGAAGCGCGGCTCCTTCCACCACCCCTTCAAGGGTGACCTTTGGGACACGCGCAAGGGCTCGCTGGACAGTAACCTCCCGCCGGCGGCGCCCACGTGAACGCGGAGGCCAACCGGTGCCGACGATTGTGGTGATAGTGGATCTGATCGTGGGGGAAACGAAGCAAAACGGTGTTTTTTCCTGTAATATGACCTTTATTCTTCCGGCTTCTTTTAATGCAATTTACTTGTGGTTTTTGTATGTCATGTACTTTCGGTTATCTGTGCGGCGCTGTGTTTGTACATGTTTGGGTCTTTAAAAGAATTACGCTTTTATCAGTCCGAAACTATGAATAAATAGCGACAAAAATGATGAACGGTATCGGCGCCAGTATGGACATAAAGACATACATACTTATCGTTACATATACCACATACATATATATCTATATTAAATATATGTATACATATGCATACATACATGTACATATACATACAAATATAGATATACATGCTCTGTATAATTACGCACTGAACATAGAGTTAGCACTTAGTCCAATGTAAAGGTACCCACTAACAAAAGTTTATAATAAAAAACTACCTAGTACCTACCCACCAAAATGTCGATTCGATTAAAACCGTACCAAGAAAAGCTACATAGGCACGCTTGATTCCAGCGAGTGGTCATTCTCAGAATCTTTTCTTATGTTTTCTCACGTTTTCTTACCCCTACTGGGAAGTAAGAACTTCTTAAATTTTTTAACGAACCAGTTAAAAGTAAAATACTAGCTGCTTGCTATCGGGAGAAGTATGGTCAAACAAGTTCCAGAAAAAACAAAAGGCTTCCGGTTTAACTCTTTGACAGAGAAAAGCTTAACCGAGTTGACACATCACCGGCAAAATCGTTCCCGCAAAAACTAGAGCAAGAACTACTAAGAATACAGTGGAAGTTGTTCTGGTTGCGCTCGTATGGGCGTCGCATATATCATATACAGTATGTACTATTACTTCTGCAAAATCGGTGGCTTCTGCTGGCGCTCGCACAGGGAATTGTCAAGCGCAGGTTCCGCTGCAGTGATAGGTTAATTGTTCCCGCCTCGGCCACGGCTACCCACGAATCCCAATCCGTAGCGAATTCCGCCGGCATATACAGCACGTGCACGCCGCTCACACACCTGCGGGATTATGGATCGCCGCTGCACGCCGATCGCCGGTGCTTGACATTGCGCGGACATAATCTAATTTTTTATCTCCGTTTTCCGTCAGATCTCTGCTGCTCGCTCGGCACCAGCTATTTTTCCAGATCTACAAGTATCATACGTGCGTGGGCCGTACAGACAAGCCCGAAACTAGTGGGTTGTAAGGTTAAGCGAACTGATCCCGATGGGACGGATTGTACCATTGTTTTTAGCAAATGATGAGCGTTCTTACGCGGGTACACGCGTTTCTTAGGTTTCTTAAGTTTCTTAAATTTGGACATTCAGCGTCCGAAAACCTGGGCCGCGTGGTGTGCCGGAAGCAGCCCACAACTCGCATTATTCGTGGCCGTGAGGGAATATTCTACCCATTTAAAAAGACTATATCCAGAATTGTTCCCGGAATAACTCCGGATCGGATACGGGAATAAGTCCGGATAGAATTTTTTTAATTTGGGAAAAAAAGGACGGCATAACGAATTTGACGGGAGGGTAAAGTAAGGGCTCGCAGCTTGTAAATGCAGGAGTATCGATGCACAGTCGTTTATACAGTGTTGACAAAGTTCTGCGGTTGAAACGCAGGTGCAGACTGTACACTGTGCCTGTATGATATTGAGAAGTTGCCTTCGGATTTGGGGGCTCACGGGATCGCCGTCGAGTATTCACCGTCAAGATGGGAAAGTATAAGGCGCTTCCTGATCGTTGTTAGTTTGTCCCCACTGCATGTAAGACATTTGGCCCTTATGGTGATGTCGCAGTCGTTCCGATAAAGGAGATCGGTAAAACACTGTTCATGAGAACGTTTAAGTTTGGAGATTATGCGTGGTAATGCTATGAGTGTATTGTGCACAGTCCCTTCTCATGTTAATTGGGACAAATTCTTCATTTGATTGTATATACTGGATGGTACTCGTTGATGGGGTTTCTTAATTAACATGTAGTGTTAAAATTCGCAGCGTGCCATGCAAACGGCATGAGTCACTGACGCAAACGCCTACTTCCGGCAACGTCAACGCCGTAACCGTGTTCCCGGCGCAGCTTGTCTTGGAGCACAACCTGGCAGCCCCGGCGCGGCCTCTCTGCCGGGAGAAACCCGCCGGTGGTGCATCCGACGGCAGTCAGTAAACCGATACCCATGGCGCCACTAGTCTGGCCCCCCGTATCGGTTTCCCGACTGCCGCCTCTCGGCGGCGCTGGATGACCAGGATTGAGGCGGATGTGCCGCGTCAAGAAATGCTTCATGTTCCCAATTTGCTAGTTTCGTACAGTGGCTCGCATAATCGTTTGGTACAACATCGTCAGCTGGTGACTGTAGTCGGTGCAAATGTGTTAGTGCGTTTAACGGAAGATGACAGTCAACCGGATCAAAGATACTTCGAATGCTGCCTCATATGGGCTCCCCTTATATTACTCTCCCTTATCTGGGCTCCCGGCTAGTTAGCAATACCCGTCAAATTAAATTTATCGGAGTTATAGCAGAACCCTTGTCTACTTCTTTCAACCGGATTTACAAGTGAGCGCACTTAAGAATTCCGAAATTTCACATCCAAATTATATTTATATATATTATCTATATAATATTAATTTTTAATAATTTCAACTGGATTTGCCAAACTGAAAAACAACGAACTGAAAAATGCAGAAATTTCATATCACGTTATTTTTTTCACGGGGTTCTTACTTCTTAGTGCATTTAAGCGGGCGATGTTTCTTAAATAAAGTTTTGAAAGATTTTGAATCTGTCGTTGGTGCAACCTGAGCACTTTGAAACAAACTGAATACTACGAAAGTACTGGCAAAATAAGTATATTAAATAAATCAAAATTTTCAGTCAGGCATAACACTGATAACAGCTGCGAAAGCGTGAGTAATAACGTAACCGCCCATGTAGAGGGTTGCTCATATTGCTCGGGAGCCCAGATAAGGGAGAGTAATATAAGGGGAGCCCATATAGCATTCGAAGTATCCAGAATAATACAAATAAATCATCTCCATGCATATTTTGCATTCGTTGACCTTTATATGATTTAGCAGTATAATCCATAAAAATTAATAATTTATAATAACAGCAACGAAAGAAAAAAGCTCGGATTATATAACAAAAAAAAATAGTACGCTTTGGTAAAAAGATGGAACATATAGCACATAGTCAATACGACCGTGCCAGGCACCAAAATTCGCGGCTGCCGGCATCACCAGCACCTGGCCTCACCCGCGGGCCAAGCCGGATACTAGGTGGCTACCGCCGACAAACTGCGTAGTCCTTCCTTACAATAAGCATCGTTCAGTGACCTCAATATGATGCCATTATATATATGTCTCATTATACGGGTGACCGTTGATAAAACTGTATATATCTGCGATAGCTTCCACATAATTTATTATGTATGCGACTTTTTTAAATCCCTTTTAAAATCTTTTATTTTGTATGGTACGTTTTGCACATACATGCATTTATAGTACAGTACATAATTATTATGACCTTTTATAAGTGTATTTATATGATATGATTTTTATACGTTTTTTTTTTATGGAATTTAGCGCGTACATGTATCTATGACCTTTTGTAATGCATGTAGACAGCACCCCGGGCGCCTACCCCGGCATGCACCTGGGCGGAGCGCTGTCGCTGCCCGTGACCAGCATCACCACCGCCGGCAGTGTGCAGCAAAACCCCGACGACGCCCAACGGTGTCCCGGCCCAATCACACCGCTGCGACTACTCGCAGCACATTAACGGCGACAAGGAGGCCTCCGCCTACTCAAATAGCGCCAAGTCCGGGCCCCCATCCGTTCCTGTCCCCCTCCCCCCCCCATGACGTTTCTCCGTGCCATCAGCCCGACCAGCCAGAATCGTCGCCGATGCCACTCATGCTAATTCCGTTCCAATTTCTTGCTGGTTAAACATACTCGTACGTTCATGGTGGCGAAGTGGTTATCGTGCCGACACCGTCAGCCCCGGTGGCCAGGAGCATTCTCCTGCAGTAGACTGTCGATCTGCGTCTGGCCGAAGAGCTTGGCCAGCTGGATCTACTCGATCATCTGGCTGGCGATGCTCTGCAGTGAAGGAACTAGCAGCAACCGCTCCCCGCAGCGTCCCCTGTGATTCATACTGGCGGTGCGCAAAGTTACCGGGGAATCGCGATCTGCAGCTTTTCTAGACAACGTTTAAGTTTAGCGATAGTAAGAGGAAATGCAGTGGCTGTTTTGGATACATTTAAAATGCGTCCTAAAATTACGAACGACAGTAACGATTTTGGCTGTTTTTTCAGTATTTAAATTTGATCATTTTTAATTACATAGCGTAAATCCGCGCAGGCATACTGTTATGTGTACCGGCTGATGCCGGGTAAAACTGTCTACTGGCGGTCATTGATATTGTAGCGATAGAAGCTGTACAACCCATAAGACCACCCAGTTATGATTCCTCACTACGTTATGAATTCTCTTTGTTTTACCGGCTAGCTGTCCTTCGTTACAATTCCTACAATTCGTTCTTGTACTCATCTTGCTACAGCTTGCGCCAGCTTGATCAGCTTGTTCAGCTTGTTAAACTCTTGCCCAAAACTTGCTCCTTGTCTTGCATTAGAGTATTCTTGTCATTAAACATGCCGTGAACTTCCGTTGTTACGTTCATTAATTGGGTTACGTCAGTAAGAGCGTCCTCGGCCAGCATCGTTTCCGGCCGTGGCAGTAATAATCAGGACAGACTTTCCCCATCACCTAGATCACCGGGACGCTGTTCCATGATTGCACACTAGGAACGCCTCGTTTGTCCCGTATATTGCCAGTTGGCTCCATGTGGATAGATCAACCACCCGCAAATCGACGTCATCCCACACTTTTGCTTCTCCATCCGGATGAAACCCGCTGAACCTGCATTAACACGTACTAAAGCGTCACGTACAGTACGTAGTGCAAACTTGTCGCGTCATTTCTGTTCTCAAGGTGCAAAAAAAGCACGTATTGAGCGGGAAGTTGGCGCTGAAAACGATTAAATTTATATTTGTCGCTGTGTTGATGAGAAAGGAATTACCGTACAATCTTGTACATACCGGTAGTCTGCATTTCCCAAAGGCTCAGCGTATGATCGACATACATCTGGAGGTAGATGCGGATGCTCTGTCAGTCCCCGGGATAGCTCAGGGTGTGCAGCCAGCGCTAACTGGT